AAAATGAGAAAGTGAAGGAAGATGGAACAATTCAAATTTAAAATTTAAATACAAGTAAAATAAAAAATGATAGAATACAAGCGGAGAGAGGCGATACAAAAAGGTGAGACGACGGTGTAAGGAGGTCACACCGTCACACAGATGCAGGTTCAAGTCCTGTAAGATCGAAGGAATTGTTGTTCCTTGTGTCCGATCTTTGTATTAATTATAACAAACAAACTAGAGGAGTAATTTCACAAAAAATAAACGAATATCATGGTACGAAAACATCATGGTACTCATTAAAATCAATATTACATTTCAAAAAACGACATCTCTTATAAAGCACTGGTAAAGGTACCTGATAGACTGAGCAAAAAGTTTCATAGATTTCTCACCGGTGGCGTCACGGCAAAAAGCTGTTAAAACCAGTTAGGAACTTAAAAAGTTTTAACGTATTGATACAAAGATTGGACAAATACAAAGTAAAATCTTTCTGTACGGCTGGTTACGATTCAGCATCTGTTTTTTTTTTTTTTTTTTTTTTTTTTTTTTTATGACATTAAGTAACGGGACGAACAAGTCGTGTGCCTGATGGTAAGCTACACGCCTGCCCATAACAGTTGCAGTGCCACCAAGAACTTTAAATTACAAAGATCTTGGGGGCACTGCCACTGCGCCCGTCACCCTGAGACATAAGTTGACAAGTCTCATGTGCCTGTAATTTCACCAGCACCCTTACCCTTCACAACCGGAACACAGTAATGTGACCATTACTGCTTGGCGGCAGAAATAGGTAAGGTGGCAGTACTTCCCTGGACGAGCTCTTTCACAAGGAGCTCTACTGCTACTAGACCAAATTTTTGAATAAAAAATTTTTTTCAAGAAGTATGTAAGCGTGTTGAAATATTAAGAAGTCAAAAACTTTTCACGGGCACTTGATTTCGTCTTGTCAATTTAAAGCTTAATAAAAAATGTACAATTAAGCGAAATTATTTCTTAAGAACTTAAATTATACATAGAATTACTAACTCATATTCAGTAGTCATAAAAAAATGAATACTAACGATGTTTAACGAGTGAAATGACCTTAGCAATCAGGCCGAGCCAACAGATGTGGTATCAGCTCTCCCACTGCAAAACGTTATCTGAGGGCGACGACCGCACTTAATTTATTAATTACCCGTCCAGCATAATCGGACCCTTTGAATTAAACCATACAACCCTTTTCACTACTTATATAAAGGTTGTCCAAAATTTACACAAGAAGTAATTTTGATAGATAACACAGGTTTATAATTACAAATTGTAATTTTTTTTATTGATATATTAAGTATATGATATAGGATTATGTTTGGTAAAGCATGCACAAGCAAGCACAAGCAAGCTCAATAAACAAAAAATAAATATACGCGTTTTACGTCCACTTGCATTAAAGTATGTATTAAACCAATGCTTGCAATTCAAAAAAGCAATTTAACCATTAGTTTAAGATAGACGTACTTAAGTTTAGTGCAACTGGACATTAGCTAGATTCGAAAAAATAGTTTCATTTTCAAGAATAATAAACTTTTAAGTTTAGGATTTTCTTTCTCAAACGAGTCTATTTCATTTTGCAGACAGTAACTGGAAAGAAATCTATATTTTTAGAACACTGAAACTTTATGAAGAACTCGTGTGAATCACGTTTGGTTTCTCATATCAACTGCCTCCGTGGCCGAATGGTTACCATGCTGGTCTGCTGGAATGCGGGATGCAGAGGTTCAATTCCCGCGCCGGGAGAAATATTTGTATGTTCTACATTTATTTCTCTCGTGAGTTTGGGTGTAATTTGTGTGTCCATGTGTGTGTCCATGGCACCCGCGATACAGGGTTTCCCTAGTGCGGGGCTATGAGTGTATTGCGTTATTATTATTATTGTGTTGGTTAGGCTTATACAATAAATAGCCGAACTTGTTTCATTTGAAATATCATCCATCATTATCACAGGTACATTTGAATGTCAATTTTTTGTGTAAGTTCATACATACATACGCTACATTACTGTCTTTTAAAAATACAAAGAAGAGACATACTTTTAAGTTTTTCCTTTTAAATTCAATATAAATAATCAAATCCGCCTATTCTTATTAAAGTGTATATGATTAGAAATTGATTTTTTTTTTTTTTTTTTTTTAATATATAATAGACACACGCTTGGCCACAATCTCACCTGATATTAAGCGACGATGTGACCGACGATGGGACGCGTTTGCCTAAAAAATGCCTATTCACTCTAGCCTTGAATAGCCCCAAATTGTACTTTTCGGGAAATACATACTAGTAGGCCAACTGTCAAAATAAGAATAAAGACGGCAATAACCATTGACTTACAATTAACGTCGGGTCCGCGTTAAAAAGTGTCCGAACTTATAGGGCATTAAAATCGTATACAGAGCGTCATTCACGCTTTAGTCTTCGTTTGTTCGACTGACAGCGAAGCAAGCAAAATTAGACAGTACTGCGATGACATTACAATTTAAATTCAACGTTTTAGCTTTTTCATATTCCTTTACATGTCACTACGTTTAAATAGATTGACTTGGGACATTTTTTCGTGGTTTTTGTATTAGACCCGTCGTCCATTTATTTGTAAGTCAATGGCAAAAACGCAATTAATAATCATTAGAACGTCGTAAGTAACATCAGAAATCAGAAAAATGGGTGAAATCAGGTTGTGGATGATGATGATGAAGTAACATTTACAATTCACAGATTTTTGGCAAAACTTTACTTTCTTTCATAATCTATCGATAAAACTGTCGACAACAATCACATTACTTTTAAAATTTTATGAAAACTGGCAACCCTACAAGTGTCATTTACTCCGTTTTCATAAAAAAACAGACTATAGAAGCAATGTGGAAAAGTCAATTTCTCCAATTGATCGAGATCACCGAGATAGTCGAATAATATTTAGAACTACATACATATTTAATACATAGAACAACACAAATTCCAATGACAAAGTTAATAACATAGTAAAAACAATATGAATTGAAAACACATACAGCTTTTGGTTATAAGGAAAATGTACCCATAACCGCATTTGAGGATAGAATGTCAGTAATAATGATATGGAACATTGAGTATTATAGAGCATTTTGTACCACACGTAATAATTAACTCCGTTGTAAATGCATTTCAACCTTCAATATAGAAAATTGTAAAAATATAATCAGTATTTCTATCACTATTACGCCCATTTATATATTGGAAAAAAAATTAGTTTGTAGTTTTTTTTTCACGACTATTTATTTATTTAATAAATTGACAACTAAACAGATAACAATCAAACTACATTGATAAGAGTTAAATATAATATAAGTTCTGTACTAGATTGTGACATCGTTATAAAATAACAAGAAAGATCTACTGTTCACAATTTGCTAATAATTTACTTACTTAATTAATATACCCATTTATTTACTAAAAACAAAAACGAAATGTGTTTGAGAGAATACCTTTGTAAATGTTAGGCGAGTTACTACTCCTTTAAATATTCTGGATCTTGACTGAAAAACATCCTAACCGGAGTTTTTCGTTGATATCTCGTTGTAAAGCCAACACATTCTTATCAGGGTATTGTAAAAGCAAGTGTTATTCTTATATATTTGCAAATTAAATTCTTGTTAAAATTTAACATTCACTTTATTCAAATCATCATCATGATCAACCTACTTAAGAGCCAGAGTCGGTGTAACCTCCTCCACTCCTCTCGATTCGTAGTCTGGTCCTTGACCTCCTGATAGGTGCTCACGTTGATCTTCTTGTTTATTTGTTCACTATACGCCAATCTTGGTCTTCCTCTCTTTCTTTTCCCTTCTACCCTCTCTCGTCTGTTCTCTATTGCATTCAAAAGATTTCTTACTTCCCTATTTAACCCTATTCAAATAAGTACAGCAAAATTTTAGCACATTTATGGACATTACAGCAATGCGACATGCAGACTACACGTTTAATTCCACAGACATTACTGTCTTGACTTTACAATTTTGCATCTTATTATCTTTATGACGTCATGTCCTCAGTTATGAATAATAATAATATTAAGAAGACGAAATGGCTCTCATCATAACACACCCTCAACATAGAAATACACATACATTATACTAGGCAATTCCCTGTACTATGCGTAATAAAGCAACATACTTTAATGCGGGGTAATACCCGGAACACCTACAAGAAAAGTTCATTTTCCATATTGGTCCTACCTGGAATCGAATCCGAAAACTGAACCAACACATACATTCATACACAGTGCAAATCGTTGAGCCATCGAGGTCATCGAATCAATACAATAAGCTATTAAATAATTGACAGTTTACTTCTTCACTCTGTAACTAGTTTGGCCTCATTTACTATCTTCCTACATTAGTCACGATTTCCAATTATGTTGCCTTATTGAATAGAATTGCCAATAATATTAATTTTCCCTTTATTATATTTCAGGTGACGTTCAACAAACGCAAGTTCGGTGTGATGAAGAAGGCGTACGAGCTGAGCGTGTTGTGTGACTGCGAGATTGCACTCATCATCTTTAGCTCCAACAACAAACTGTACCAATATGCCAGCACCGATATGGACAAGGTGTGTCTTAAACTTAATTTTGTGCTAATTCTTGTTAAAACCACAAAACAAAATTTATATATAAATAAATTGAGACAACATCACATACGTTGATCTGAACCCAAAGTAAGTAACTAAAGCACTTATGTTATGGAAATCGGAAACAACGACCGTATCACAAATACCCAGACCTATTTTCTACATTGACCCACCTGGGGATCGAACCTGGCACCTCAGCGATGACGACATTATGAAAACCGGTGTGCAAGCCACTCGACCATGGAGGTCGTCACTATGGCACTATTCACTTGACAAAAAAGCGTTTTTGAAAGGTTTCTGCTCGCTGACGTTTGTAGAGCGTTCTCACTTGACCTGTTGTACAAGGTCACGAGTGTGATTCCCAGCGCTTGACCTGACTTTTGCGCTAGTAAATTAGAATGTTAAATTATCACTTGCTTTACGGTAAAGGAATACGTGAGAAAAAGACGTTGAGTAGGTTCACAAAACTCTTTGAGGTTATGTAGTCCGCAGAGCACGAACCCTTAATGTAGTCTCTGTAGGTGACTCGCGACGTAAACACATACTTACAATATGGGACACCACAGCATTGGAGTAAATTTAGGGCATTCACAAAAATCTCAAACACATAAACACTGTCGATTGATAGACCGAAGTTGAAATTTTGTTTGTTGGACCAGACTGGTCTTGTGCACAGAAGCTAAGCAAAGGAATACAAGCCCATGAAAAACAAGTCACAATACCAGGTTAAAAGCCACTAAATAATTGTTTTACACGTAAATTCGTGACGACTTGTATATAAATTTAAATAATTGTTCAAAAACAGTAATATTTTTGTTCAACGGTATGTTTTGTCTAATAAATTTAATTACTTCTTGCACATTCCATGATCCAAATGAATTGAAATTCTTTCTCCGAACCGTTTTACTGTCGCATTAAAAAGTTAGAAACATTATGTAGACAGTAAGTTAATTGTCATTTTACATATTTGTGAATGAAAAGTTTGCGCTTTACAAGCATAAGTGTTGTCATTACAAATTACTCAATTGCCATAACAATATCTTTGCAAAGTGATGAGCGAAATGACCTGTCCGCCATTTATTTGTCCTTGTGTAAAAAGGTCAATGTATACTTATTTGCTTGACGATTTCATTTGCGGTAGAAATGTATCGTACAATTATTTATTTGTTTATATAAACATTATAATGTACTTAAACAGTGTTTATGTTCTTGCAAATCGTTGCTACACATACTTAGGCGATTTTGATTGTATTTATGCGGTCGTTCATAGTAAACACATTTGACTTGTCATTTGTTGATTGACTTCTAATTAATATTGATATTTCGTCCATGATCCTGAAACATATGATGACGAATGTTTTTACGATGTGTGTGTTAATACGTGTTAGACGAATATCTTTGTTAAACTATCTCTTTTTTGTTCAAAGTACAATGTTATACTGCAATATCAAAGCAATTCGTACCCTTGGTATAATAAACAAAGCCACGTGTGAACATATATGTCAAAAGTCATAAAAATAACTACATGAAACAAATTATGTACAAAAGATTAAATACAAAATCTTACAATACTAATTCTACATTAATTTAATTTTTCAGGTTCTTCTTAAATACACGGAGTACAACGAACCCCACGAGTCGCTGACGAATCGCAACATCATCGAGGTACATTAAGTACGGCGTCATCTGTGTGCCCGTGATCGCAATGCAGTGTCCATGCAAACTTGACTGATCCCATTAACCGCGTGCTTTTTACTCACAAAAAACCTAATGCAAATTATCTTACTAAAATCTTATTCCTATTAATCCCAGTCCAAATAACCCGGACATACTGGAATTTGATGAAAGCCAAGAAACAAAAAACAATCCTATAGCTTAAGACGCCCCAGCAAGTAAAGATGTTGTAGATGACCACACTGAATGTAGTGAGAATAAACACAAGCAGCAACCAGCATGCCTACTTCCTGTTAGAAAAAAAACTCCAACTACAAAACACCAGACACCCCGTTTTTATACTAACAGTTTATGATTAGACACCCCAAATATTTATGTTATTTTTTCCTTGTACAGCATGGGTTTTATAAATATTTTTGTGTTTATTTGAATTAACCGCGCCTACCTGATGTTGATACAGGGGTAAAGTCAGTTGCATCATTGCATTCGTCACAACACACATATGTACGCTAAAAAGTTTCACGTACAATACTATCTAGATGCTAGTAGAACTTATTTTGATAGCACTTTTTATTTGAACCCTCCACTACATACTTAGTGAAAACAGTACGAATGTCAAGCAACCACTTAAATGCAACATCGTTATCGTAGCTATTGAAGCACTAATAGTGTGTACAGAGGGTGTTTTATTGTTTAACTTGATTGAAAATTAATGCATGTCGAGTAATTTGCCGTCGCAAAATTTACCGATTTGGCTTGTCAAGCCACCTGAGCTCGTTTCGCTGACACTTACAGGCCCTAACGAAGAAAGAGCATAAGAACGGAGTGATGTCACCGGACAGCCCTGAAGCCGAACCGGAATACAGCCTGACACCACGAACCGAGGCCAAGTACTCAAAGATCGATGAGGAATTCCAAATGATGATGCAAAGGAACCAGTTGAACGGAAGCAGAGTCGGTGTTGGTGTGGCTGGAAGTAACTACAATCTGCCTGTGAGCGTGCCGGTGGGGAGTTACGATCAGTCGTTGTTGCAAGCTAGTCCACAAATGCATACCTCTATCAGTCCACGGCCTTCGTCTTCGGAAACCGATTCAGGTAAACCTAGACTTTTCAATGGATTTTTTAAACCTCATTCTAACCGTATAACTTTCAATCCCATTGTCGACTATTCGAAATTTTTTTTCTTTCGTTATACCAAGCGATGATGTGAGACGCCAGTTGCATTGCTACTCAGAGCTTGAAATGGCAAAGACCTGAGAGGCTCTGCCACTGTGCCCGTCACCCTGAAACATAAGTTGACAAGTCCCATGTGTCCCATTTCACCAAACAGATTATTTCTTGGAATCATTAAGCTTTTGAAATCTTTTGCAAAACCCACTTTCAGTTAGAAAAGGTTCTAATGAACTTGCACACATTTAAGTCCAACGACGAATTATAGCTTTTTCTTATCTTTACAGTATACCCAAGTGGCGGAATGCTAGAGATGTCGAACGGCTATCCAGGCCCGGGATCTCCTCTAGGGGCGGGCTGTACACCGTCTCCGTCACCAGGACCCGCTCCGTCTCCTCACCGACACCCGCATAAGTCTCATCACGCACCGCCGCCACACCACTCGCCTCGACATAATAACTTACGCGTCGTTATACCAAGTTCCATGCCACCACCGCAAGACGATTTATCGTATACCGGAGAAGTAAGTTGACAAAATATGTGGATAAAACGAAATTATGTAATATCATTAAGAATTAGTAAGAAGTCTGAAAATAATGCAATCGAATCGGAGTAATCACCTTTACCTGTAATTGGGATTACTAAAAATATCGTATTACCTTTCAGCCTCCACTAAGCTACTCAGGACTTGGCAACTTCGGACCGCAAGACTTCAGCATGAGCTCGGACATAGGAATCGGACTATCGTGGGGCGCGCATCAACTGCAAACTCTACAGCACAACAGGTACATGTCTGTGCCCAATTTTTATTAAATAATCCTTTTATTAGCTTTTAAGCGATCATTAAACAAACGCTCATGAGATATTCAAGACCATAATCGTGGTCGTCATTAATCCTTAGATCTTTTTGGTTCTATATATACTTCGTTTGTTTTAGCATTAGACAGAAGGAAATTTGGGTCCTTTTTTATATCTGGCGCCATTTCATTCGATCATTTCGTAAGCAAATAAATTTAACAAAAACCGTAAAAAAATCTCAAACATATTTACTACCTCTATGTACAATTGTTAACTTTTTTAATAGTAGCATTCGCTATATAGATTAAATGTAAATTTTCTATCTTTACATTAATAATCTATTTCAAAGACTGGCACAATAAAAAAATTTAAGAAACAGAGGTTCGAAACGAAAGGTTTTTATAAACTAATAAGTTTTTATAATATAAAATAATGTAAAAAATTTGAGTGCCAATTTTGGTAGAATATGAAAACTGTTACATTTTATACAAATAATTATCAATCAATCAATAACACTATCGTGTCATTTTGTAAAAGTCATTTGTCATCAATTTTCACGATCTTTTCCAATACTCTAATTTGTCTGAAAAAGAAAAGGTTTACGATCACAGCTTCTTTGTTCATGGTTTTTCTAATTCTAAAAAAACGAGGTATAGGTTTTGTAAATCCGAGTCATTCTTTTTAGATAAATTACATCAACATTATATATTTGTGAGATGTAGGTAAAAATTTACAAAACATTTAAAAAAAAATATTCCCCTGCGACAGCAAATCACTGCCGTGACCAGGATTCGAACCTCGATTACTACGGCCACAACGTAGGGTCCTAACCACTAGACAATCACGGCTATCGGAACTGATGACTGTAGTGGCGAATTTTACAATCCCTTTTAACCAAATTACACAACCGCTTTTGAGCAATTGAGATTTGCATGCTTTTATTCTTAATCATTGTTATATAGACTTAGATTCAGAGATAAATAATTTTATATATATCATTTTACTTCGGCATCAATTACATACGATGAAGAATAGAATGAGGAAAATACAAACATTGTACTCTCTCGTCATCGTCTCCATCCATACAATTATGTTTCATTTCATTGCAGGCTTATCCATCTGTACTACATTATTCTTTAGTTTATTCACAATTACATTGAAATCCTTGACATCGAGTAAATAGCTCACTCCGCTATTTACAAGGTCACAGGGAAGCCTCAAGGTAGCATAAGCATGACCAACAATTTTATAACGGCAGCTTTCCGCACGACCAATTTCGGTTTGTTCGAGAAAAAAAAACAGAAAAAAAGATGTTACAATTCCTGCATTTCCGGAAAACATTTTAACATTAAATCGTTGTTTATTGTAAATATTAAAAAAACAAAGCTAAGTCTGTTCAGTTGTTAAAGACGATTTATCTTACTTCAAATATACATCTATCGGAAATCAAAAGATATCAGATGTGACGCGTAAAGCAATAATGAAAAAGTAAAAAGATAATCTAAAGCTAAAATAACGTGGGGTCCTAACCACTAGGCAATCGCGGCTATAGGAGCTGATCTCGTTGAATTCGGTGGTCACTAACCAAAACTGCAGTTAACCACTTTGGTTATTCGAAGTAGTTACTCTTGATTGCTTTTACAAGCACAACACTCGTAATGGGCAGGTTCATTGAGGTTCATTAAGGTTTTCACAGATGGCGTTTTATATGAAACAAACGCGCTTTATAAGTGCCAAGATTTTGAAATCATATTACAGAAAGCTAAAAATATTTAAGAATTAATTTAATCTTTCTATTAGCTTAATATCTAAAACATTATCATGTGATTCAAAAGTTTAATGATCTAGATCAGAAAGACTGACTCCTTTTCATATTTGACAATATGCATACCCGGCATCAAAATTGTTTCGCATAAGTTAATATCAATGCACAAAATTAAAAAATAAATCTCCACCGCGACAGTGAATCACTGCCGTGACCAGGATTCGAACCTGGGTTACTACGGCCACAACGTAGGGTCCTAACCACTAGACGATCACGGCTATCGGAGCTGATACCTTTGGCGACGAATTCCGCTACTGCATTAAGTACAGTTGCGCTCTACCCAAATATCGAGTGCCTACCCTGCCTCCCCACGTTTGGTGTAAAATTGGGTATCTAAGGGGGGACACAGTGATTAAGTACAAGGTCTGATCCAGTATCGAATACTTTCACTCTTGATTACAGTTACGCTCGAGCAGCGACGCAGATAATTATCGCCTACAATTTCATTTTATCGGTTGTTGCGTTTTAACTAGTGCGAATTTTTTGTTGCTGTTGTTGTTGTTGATGTAATCGTCTCATTTCTCACCAGCTTTTTAGCTTTAGGAATGTTTTTTTAATGTATGACGTATCAAATCCCTAATTTAGCTACATTATCTTCCCTAACGTTACTTAGTTTCTTTACCAACTACATAGTACGTACATAATATATAAAACTTCTTAGTTCTTGTAAAGTAACACTGTGTCAATGAGTTTTATTCTTTGTCCCAACAGTAGCAGCTTGCCAGTGCTAGGAGGGGGCGGGACACCACCGCCGGCTGCGTCTCCCAGCAATGTGAAGATCAAAGCCGAACCCGTCTCTCCTCCACGTGCCCCTGATCATATGCATCGCGGCCCACAGCAGCAGTCCGCGCCGCAGCCCGCACACCTATCTGGAGTCATTGATGGTAAGTGGAAACAGTGGAATTATATTTATTTTGTTCATTCATTACATTACCTAAAAATACTAACTTGATCCACTTGACTCCATCAAACGACCTGTTAGTGTTGTCGATGATACCAAACTCACAAATAGTTTGGAGTCCCTTAGTACAAGGAGGGACGTTAGATTACCTTTCGAATTAGTGCCACCGTAATGTTTCCACATTCACACTTCCCGACAAAGGACATCCTTGTTGCCTGGCATTCTAAGATCATCACGTTCATTGGTTCCACGAATCTTCTGAAGTAATTCCTTTGCATTATGACATGACGTACTTCAAAAAGCTAGTCAATAAGGCTCTCAAAGGCTGGCAACACATAGGCAGTTCTCTGATGTTGGAGATGTCCATGGGCGCCGATGCCCATCTTCCATCAACTGACTCGTCAGCTTGTTTGCATTAGGAGGCAGGAGGTTTTTTTTGTGTAAATGAGGATTTTAAAAAAACGTTTATGATGGGAAAAAGAAAGAAAAATTGTCGGTAGTTTTAGTATCAGTGATGACGGTGTGCAGGCGGCGATAAGGCTTCAGAACACTCAAATGTTGTGAATGTATTGCACCTTAGACATCTATGCACTAGATATTGAAATCTGAAAGTAGTTTAGCTTGTGTATCGTTGTAAATAGGTAGGAGAAACCCGATTAGATAGTTCATTTTTATACCACGCGACTTCTACATCAAGTCGGTGATAGAACGTAGTAATTCTAGGTTCTTCAAATGTATACGATACAATGTTGCAATTAACGGCTTAAGCGTTCTTAAGTATCCAAAATTCATGTTTATTTATTAGAGAAGCATATTAGTTACATTAAAATCGTCAAATTCATTAAAAGATAATGCTTACAGTAGATTCCCCCGGGAAAAACAAAAATAAAATCTCTATAGCTTGCTATTTGTAAAAACATATTTGTTCACATTTGTCATTTACAACGATTATATAAAAATAATATTGCAACACCAACCTGAATAAGCTAAACAGGTTCCTTGTCATCCAAGAACGAAGGAGCCATGTAATATTTTATGTACGGACAACGGCACATCAGACTACACATTTTTGTTCGAAAATCGAGGCGTGAAGAGGCATATTGTAGGCAGGCAGGGTGGAGGTGGCTAGTGCAGTGAGGGTTCCATCGCTGCACTAGGTTCCTTGGCGTTTGGATACCACTTTCCACTTAACATCAGGTGGAGTGGAGTCATTTGCCTGTCATGTATAAAAAAAAAAAAAAAAATCGCCTCCATTGCAACGGAACAAGATACGTCAATGTGTAGTTTGATGTGTAGTTTGATGTGCTGGTGTGTGTACATATATTTATAACTAGTTTCAAATTTTATACTTTGTAAATGACAAATTTTAAATATAAACACTTTAAATGAATTTGTGGAGTCATATGTCACGAATAACCAGTTTATTTTTATTCCCTGAGTTTATATTATGGTTTTTTGTTTCATAAAAATATTGCTATTCTTAATATTTCATTCTCATGCTAACGACAGTATAAGTCAGTTCCTTCAACATAAGCTTATTTCTGACAAACATCAGAAACACGTGGACCTATTTTAACAACTCACCGCCGCTGTTGCGGTGATGGTTGAAATAGGTGAAATTAAAGTGTCAACGATAGTGTTCCTGACTACTGAAAAGAAGTAGTTTTTTGGAAATCTTTAATATTGAAATCTGTCAACCAATGTAGCTTTTGTTCTGTATTATACTGTGTCACTCATATGTCTTAGTTTTTCCTTAAAACTTTAAATTCTCTATTTATTTGGTATTTTCAAGTCTTATTAAGAGCTTCTACTCAAAAAAACGCACGCTCTAACAGGTTATGAGATCAGCACCTGAATTTAAAATGGAAAATATAACTTCCAAAATACAAATTGGTTAGTTAGAAGGAGAAGTCCACTGGTCGACATGGAGATATAAAGTAAGCAAATTATTGCGGAGCATTCCAAATGCTATGGATGTAGTTGAAGGAAAACTAAAAAACCCGATTTTGTGCCAGATTATGGAGCAGGTGACGCCAATGTCAACACATACAGATTGGAACTTGCCATTTTCGTTAATGCTGATAGCACCGCTATACTCCTTCTCACCACAAACTTGAGTGAAGAAACATTACGTAAAGTGATGAGATATACGTCTGCCCGTGAAGTATGGTTAGAATAACACCGGCTTTTTGATGATACTTGTGATGACAGATCATACAACTTATGCATGACCTTTTTCGGATTTAAACGAGATCCAGCAAATGACATTGCAACCCACTAATCTAAATTGAAAAATATATGAACCGAGCTGAATCAAGAGATGTTTCAAGACAAAAAAAGAGTTACCCGAACTACTATTGGTCTGTAAGATTCTTGACACCCTTGGCGAAGATTATTTTTCATTTAGAAGTAGTTGACTATTTACACAAAAAGCTGACTGAACCGTGGAAAATCTAACCAGCCACTACATCGTACATTCATAGTACGAGAGAGCTCTTTTGAGTAAGAACATTCTTAATCAGGAAGCTCTGACTGCTAATACGAGCTCACTGAAGCACAACAAGAGCTAGGATAAGGACAAGAGGCTTAAATGCAACTATTGCTCTGAAAAAGGACGGTCGGAGAGTGCGAAACTGTCAAAAGTGGATCAAAGATGGAAGGCCACCGAAACCGAACAGTTTGCCAGCAAGTTCCTTATCCAAACAAGTTCAGAACATTACACTAATGGCTGTTAATGTTATAAAAGACTGCAATCCATACAGCAGAAGCCTTGATTGGCACGTCGACAATGGAGCTGCGACTCACATTACTGTTAGAAGGGATTTCCTCCAAGACTTTGACGAATTTGACAGCAGTCATACAGTCTTGATTGCAGATGGAACATCCATTCCTGCAAAAGGGAAAGGTTCTATCGTGGTAGAATCAAATGTCAATGGAAACATAGAGAAAATAACACTAAGTGATGTGTGGTTCGTACCGTCGCTCACAAAGAACTTGTTATCTGTATTAGCTGCACAAGATAAGATGCAAAATAGCATATTTACGTCAACAACTCGAGATTGCAAATTAGGTATAGGAGGCATCACGAAGGTTGTTGGTAAAACAGTTCTATATGGTGGACTATAGTAATTGGATATGAAGACAGTAATTCTAATAAAAAAGATTATTGAAGTTAATGTAGCTACAAGTTCGAATATGTTTGTACCATGGAAGTTTTGCTCATCAAGACAAAAGACATATCCGAGAGTTAGTCAAGCGTTAGTTGGGAATACAGTTATACAACGACAATGTAAAATGCGAAGGCTGCATTTACGGAATAAGTCATAGAGACAAATTTGGAAAAAGGGAAAGAGCAACTCAACCAGGAGAATTAATACATACAGATTTATGCGGGCCCTTTGTGCATAGCTTTTCAAAATTTAGATATTATGTACTGTTTAAAGACGACTACTCAAGTTAACGCATGGTATAGTTTATTCAAAACAAGCATGAGGTAAAAGATAAGTTAATACAAATGCTGAATGAGACAAAGGCTGTTGGACACACAGTCCAAGCAATACTAAGCGACAATGGAGGGGAATTTGACAACAGATGCTAAAGAGGAATTCGAAGTTCATGAACCGGAACTTAATTCAGAATCTTCGCATGGAAACAATGACGTAGAATCAAGGTATAACTTGAGAGACAGGACTACCATATCACCTCCGAAAAGATATGATGACTTTGTCTACCTTCTGCACGTAGAAAAGTCTCCTGAAACACTTAAACAAGCTATGGAACGAGAGGACGGTACAGATTGGCTGCAGGCTAAGCAAAGCGAGATGGATTCGTTAAAGGAGAACGATGTCTGGACGCTATGTAAATTACCGCCAAATAGGACGGCGCTGCCCTGTAAATGGGTATTTAGGATCAAGCGGAATCCTGATGGATCCATTGATAAGTACAAAGCGCGCCTTTTAGTCAAAGGATTCAAACAGAGAAAAGGATTATTACGATCAAACCTTTAGTCCTGTAGCAATGAACAGAAAGTGTACCATTAGAGCTTTGCTTAGTGTGAGTGCCAGGGAGAATTTGTACTTAACACAATTTGATGTGTCAACAGCTTTCCTTAATGGAAAATTAGATGAGGAAGTATACATGAAACAACCAAAAGATTTCAATGATGGCTCGTCGAAAGTATGGAAATTAAAGAAATGTGTCTGTGGTCTAAAGCAAGCTCCACGTTGCTGGAATTCGTGCTTTGAAGAAATTTTACTTGATATGAACTTTCAACAAAGTGGTTCTGACAGCTGTCTTTTCATTAAGAAGGTAATGAACTAGAAACTGCTCATAACATTATATGTAGATGATAGGCTAGTAGCTGCAACAGATAAAGAGGTAGTTAGTAATGATTTCCTAAATGATATTAAGAAGAGGCTGAAAATAACCACGAAACCTGCGTCTTATTATAGGTTTGGAAGTCGATAGATCAAAAGACAATAACATCTTTATAAGGCAAGAAGCTTATACTAAAAAAATCCTGGAACGGTTTGGTATGTTGAACTGTAATCCCATTTCAACACCGATACAAAAGGATTCTTCTGCTGAAACAAGGGAAGTAGAGGAATGGAAGAAAGAAATATTTCCTTACAGAGAAGCTGTAGGTGCTCTTGCATACCTAATGGTAGCTACATGTCCCGATTTAGCATATGTAGTGGATATAGTATCAAGGAAGTTGGAAAACCCCACAAAAAACGATTGGCAAACCGTGAAGAGAATTATTTAGACATCTGCAAGGAACAATGACCACTGGAATAAAATATTGCTCAAACTTTGAAAAAGAAGTTATAGAAGGCTACAGCGATGCTGACCATGCTGGTGACATGTTGACAGTATGTTCAACCACTGGAGGGGCGTGTCTCTATGCAGGAGGTCATGGCTTAGTCAAATCCAACCATCGGTTGCAATCTCTACAACTGAAGCAGAAATTGTAGCGGCTAGTGAAGCAACCAGAGAACTTATATGGCTTCAGAGAATATTGTGTGATCTGACAGATATTAAGGAAGTGCCAACTTTAAAAGTTGACGATGAAGCTGCTATTCGCCTTGCTCATAATCCTGAGTTTGATAAGAGGACTAAGCACGTTCGTGTAAGACACTTCTTTGTTCGTGAAGCTGTTCAAGATGGTCTTGTAGTTGTGGAAAAAACAAGCTCTGCAAGTCAACTAGCAGACATAATGACTAAGGCGGTACTTGGTTTGGACCAAGCCTCATAGAAATACGTGCTAAGCTGGGAGTACATGAGAACATTAAGAGAATCATGAGAAACTTTCTTCTTATCAGTGAGGAAAAATGTCAAGGATAGTGTTCCTGGCTACTGAAAAGAAAAACTAGTTTTTTGGAAATCTTTAATATTGAAAGCTGTTAACCAATGTAGCTATTGTTCTGTATTATACCTTGTCATTATATGTTTTAGTTTTCCTTGTAATTTTAAACTCTCTATTTATTTGGTATTTACAAGTCTTATGAAGAGCTTCTACTCAAAAACACGCACGCTCTAACAGAAATAAGCTAGTATAGAGATTTCTGCGCCTTACATAGAAATGTTCTTTGGAAGATTTGTATAATTGTCGTTATCGGGGAAAGCTGATTGTTTGGGAGGATCCCTGATTTGAAGATCGTTGCGAGAAACGAACAAATTAAATTTGTGTGTTATTTGCAGGTTCAGTAACATCAAGTAACATGGGCTCGCCGGCCGGGCAAGACATGAGGCACACCAACGTTCCTCTAGACTATGAGCAGCCCCATACGAAACGGCCGCGGATCGAGGGATGGGCCACATAGCTAGGCTATGAGGCCTTCGGGTCCTACCCGAGGCCCCTACATCCGCACTGCTAAATCTACTCCAGGCCCCAGGTCAAACGGCTGCGACCTATCGAGCTTCGATACAATTCGGTACATACCGTCCTCTCGGTTACCCTTGAAGGTGCAATCCTCACCGGGACAGTGCTAACGTCGACCAAAAGTCTGATAAGGAAAGGTGCATCTGTATTGGTGCTGATATTTTGAGATGGCACGGTCTTTCTGGTGCGACGACACCTTACTTCTCAATTGCGAGAATTTCAAACACCCACAAAGGGTGAAGTAGCTGCAAGTCTTTGTGTTGATTTCAAAAGGAATCACATTATTAAAAGTTCAAGTACACACTACCCTTCTATTATACGTAATTGTAATATGCACTGCAAGAACACTAAAGATTAAGATTGAATGTTAAACTTAAGTACAATATTTGCTGCAACCCTGATCAATTTTGAACATAAGTAACTACTTATAGATAGATTTCTAATTCCCTTGTACATAGACGATAATAAATGTGCAATCCGTGCCATTGTCTGTTTAGCTTAAAGTTAGTCAATTTAACATAGTGACTGTTGTTATGGATCCCGAGCGAGCTGTAAAAGAAAACATAAGTTAATCTGAAGTTCAAGTGACTATACCTAAGCGGTCGAATGGAGTTGCGTAGTGCGTGAAAAAGGACTTTGGTTATCAAAGAGTGAAGTGCATTGAAGACTAAATATGAACTGTTGACTTTTGTGTTAGTGTTAAAGTTTTTGTGCCATTTTAAAAATATAATAATAGTGTGACATCCGAACTTTGAATCTTTGTAAATTAAGTAAGCGTAGTGTCATCACGGAAGATAATAAATTATGTATTGTAAAACTTTATCTATTAACATATTTATACATGGAAATCATATGATATTTACATATTATGTATACACGTCCCGTTAGGAACGAATGTTTTGTAAGTAAAGTAGGTAATGTTAGCTAGAAATGAGTATATAAAGGTACCACACGAAGCTTTAAAATTTCTTATGATAACACTCGCACTCTAAGCAGTCCTGTAAGTGTACAATCACACCTTTATTATAATGAATTAGAGCTCCCGACTATGACGTCGTTTTAACGTAATTGATGTAATGCATTGACACGTGTACAACTTTTATAATAATAGTCTCAGCAGCTATTTAATTTTTTTCAGTGAAACAAATTATCGTAAAGTACCCATAGTATTTTTTTCCAAAATGTCGATCAAAGAGTTTTTATGCGGGCGTTCCTCGTTTGCAGACCAAATATGGAGTCAATTTTGAATATCATACGTATTACGTGTTAAGTGTTAAGATAAAAATTAGTTGCTAAATGGGTAATGAAAGAACAAGTATATTGGTAGTCCTTTTTATTTTGTTAATGTGATTCGAAGACGAATCCTTTAACACTTTACTTTAGGATAGTCGTAGACGCAACAGCAAACAACGTAAATGTGTACCTATGTATCTAGTAAGTAACCTCAGCTTTAAGCACACGTACAGAATAAATATATTCCATATTCAATTATCATTTTTGGTAAAAGCACTATCACAATCCGCCCTATTTTTGGAAATGTGTGTATAAACAAGAGTATATTTATCGTTGTCCTCCTCATATACTTAATTTGATTTCTTATCACCTTTCAATACTGCATATGTTTCTGTTTCAGCTGTATTACTATTGTCTAGACGTTCCCTTCCATCAGTCTGTCCTCTCATATCGTCTCACTGTAGATGCCTTACTCACAGTGCCTAAATGTAACCATTTTTTACCAAAATTTGTACTATACGATGGCATTTGTGCATCAATATTTTTCACATCCAGGTAATTTTAAGAATTGTTAAATTTATGACCGTAGAACTGTCACTCAGAAGCTTATTGTATTAAAAAATATTGCATAATAATGTGTCTATCTGTAGATTAAAGATAATAATGTTAACCTTCAGCTAAATGTCTTGACAGTGAAACTGTTGAAAATGTTTGTGATTGTATCTGTTTAAATTAAATGTAAGATTTAAACAAGTTTACATAAGCGTAAATGTTCTTATTATAATCCTTCAAATCACAATAACAAAATGTTAAATGTATATTTGTTAAATTTGTACAGGGAAGCAACCAGTTTTGTAGTTCAAAAGTCTGAACACATAAGAAATGTATTTTCGCATTGTAAATTAATATACACGGTTAGTTTTAACGAATTAATATTTTAATATTGGAGCATAATAAATGTTGACCCGTGTTAAGGGAGTAATTAGTGTACACCTAAATGTTTAGAGTAAATTTTTAATGTGATATAAATACACTACACTGTTGCAATCCTTGAATTTGGAGATTCTAAAATTACGTTACTTTACATGGTTTTCGGTGGTTCGTTCCTAATCGTTTCTTTCTCTAAAATATTAGCGTTGTTCATTAGAATTTGCTCAATCGTGTTTGTTAACGATATAGCGGTTTCTAACACAAACGCTTCTTTAACCTAAACCTATAATATCACATTCTGATTATTGTCTTTCCCAAGTGCAAATCAATTTGGAAAGACTGTTATGTCAAATAACATTATAGAAATAGACAAGAATATTATTTTTCTACCAAAATATAATATCTCACAGTTACCTATCACTATTCACCGACCAAATTGTCCAATAATAAACGTTTTACATACACTACGTAAAGTCCAATATATAGACATAGTCTTATTGAAAATTTTGCACAAAAAGAAAGTGTTTGTTTAGGTCGATGGTTGAAGCTTGTACTGTAAGTATCTTTACTGAGTTTCTCAGCCAATATCTATGGAAGTTTTAAAGTTGTATTATTGTGAATGGTATGATAACTTGCACATACATATTTTATTAAGTCTCGAAGGACAAATTAAATGGAACATTACCAAGACGTTTCGTTTTGCAATCGGATTTACCAAAAAGTGGTACGCAGGCAGGACAAAAACGGTTTTGAGCAAATAATCGCTAGTTTGTCTTCGCCAATTTTGTTGATGTTTCGAATAGTTGAAAGTTATTGTTGTTACGTCGACATAAATTTATAACAGTGTTAATGGCCGAAAAAGGCCAAGGGCTGCTGCATTAGCACTCTATTCGATTTGTCCTTTGTGGACTGACTTTATCGTGTATATTTCAACAGTAAGCTGGTATTTGGGAGCATTATTTCCGAGGTTGTGAGCTTTGCTATCGGGAATGAGTTCGACTTTAATGAATTAATATTTAATATTATTTTGACGCACAACTGTGTTGTGTGTTATTGTAAAAAGAGTTTGCTTGGTTTGTTTTGTAGATATACCCACTTATGTGTATGTTTTACCTGTATTTATCTTGCTGTGTGCCAATAGCAAAGGGCTGTACAGTTTTCCTTTTAGAGTGGTTAATACATTGCATTTAATTAAAATGTAGTTATAAGTATAAAATGTTGTTATTTTATCTTAAATGTCTTTTATAGGGTACGAAATTTGTTGGCTGTCATGGGTCAAAATTTTAAAAATCTAAGATTTGTGTTAGTTTTCTAGTATCGTTATCGATTGATAGCTTCTTTGGATTTGAAAATTACGTCGTATCCTTAAGACGTTTGAGGTGAAATTCGTTTTAAAGTCGCTGATTTCGCCTGTATCGAGATCCTCGTCCTTTGTCTATTTGCTATTGCATCACAGCGTATTGTGGACAACCCAAATAGTGTAGGATTATAAATACATATCCTTATTGAATACTCAAGTCGATTTCGCATTATTTTCTCTTGTAACATCAGTTGTGCAATATATATAATAAATGCTTAGGTAGGTAGGTATTAGGTATATTTTCGTTTGAATTTACAAAGAATGCAAAAATCTGTTGTATTTTATCGATATTTTTACTGATAACAATGAGAGACGGCTGACGGTATTTCGACGGTGTCTCTCAGGAATTTAAGTCATAATTGTGTAATTATTTTGTAAGCTAAGGCCGGGCCAAATATTGCATTAAATAGGTCTTACGGCGCCTGTATTCTCTGTGTTGAGGCAGCCATATCTGCCCTATTGTATAAAGTGAATGATGAAACATCTCAGTGGCTGAATGAAACATAATGTTAATCGACAGTGTTAGAAAATTGTTATAAATTATTTTGATGACTGTTCGAAGGATAATAAAGAGTTGGATGTCAATTTTGTAGTTTATTTATTTCGTCTACAAAACCACTTATTTACACTTTTACACACTTATTACAATGTAATAGTAAGCTACAAGATTGATTTTGTTTTTTATATTTTGGACTTCAATCGATCTCCAAACAGGGCGCCATTGCGAGCAGTTTCTACTCTATCTTCGTCATCTACTTCCACAACGTCCTCGTCTACCATCGTTTTTCTACTCTCATCCTTTTCAAATATCTCTCTGATTTCCCTATCTAGATCTACGGAACTCGACCTTCGAGAACCCCAAGCATCAGTGTCCAAATTATTATGAACCAAGATATTTTCTTCAGTAATGTTAATTATCTGCCCGTCCAAGGTTTCCCTAGAACCAGCGCTGATAGATCTTGTAAAATTATTAAGTCGACCTACTGTACTGTCCATTATTTTAATATTATCGTCTGTGGATTTTGGAGTAGCTAAAAGATTTTCTTCAGAAACACTGATATTATTTTCTATCTCTTTCCTAGTTCTGTTTCTCATGGCTCGACATCGGTTAGTAAAGCCTCCCATCCACTCAGAAAGAAGCGATGTCACTGCCATTAAAAACCCAGCTCCTAGAAGAAGAAACATGCCCTGCGTGTCTTCCAATGTCAAACCTTTTTCTTCTACTGCGCCGGATTTTAGCGGTCCCTTTCCTACCTGAAAGTAAAAGTCAATACTCAAATATCGTTTTAGACCTAATAGAGCTTTGAAATGATCTATTAAATCGCATATCATAGTTGACGTCATAAATAACATGATAATTCTATGCTACAACACTTGTAACATCTCATAAGACTCGTAACATCGGTAACGCGTCAATCTCAATCTCAATTCGTCTTTATTTTTTGTGTCTATATTACGCGATTACTCCGATGCTGGTAAACAGATTTTGATCATTCTTTTTTGTTGGATATGGGGTACTTTAGTAGTGGTCTCATTGAAATTTGAAAAAAATATTCGATTTAACGGATTTCACCTACTTTCTGTTAACCGATTTAAAAAAACTTGACACATAGATTTAATTCCGGTGAAAATATAGTATAGCGAAAATGGATAAGCAAACTTTACAGGTCGACTACATTTTTATAAAAAAGTTATAATTTTCTGACAAGCAACAAAGAGAAACTTACCGATAATTGTCTTCCATTGCTACTTTTCTGTACTTCCCAACGAACTTCATCGCCAAGTTTAGCAATGATTCCTGATTGTAACATATTTCGTATGTCGCTGCTTAGCTTGGAGGTATGTAGAGCGTTTTTGGGAAAACCAACTGTTACTCCGAATGGGACAAAGCACTCATTTGATATATGAAGCACTGCTCGCTTTGATCTAAAAAGTTAAAGGTGGTTTACAGGCTGCGGAGTACGGAATAGCAACGAACCTAAAATCCTAAGGATTTGTCTCTACAATAGAACCAAAATATTTCTACTGATAATATACCGTGATAAGAGTTTATAGGTGACTTCTAGGTGACTCGGATGTAGTAGAGGCGAAGACGGTGCGGCGGTGTTAAAGGCTATCCTTGAATACCGCCGTAAAGGTGCCTGCTTTTCGGTATTCTACACGATATAGAGAGTGTGCTATGGAATTGCATAATATGATTCCGCCTTCCCCTTTCCATTATCGGGGGACTAGATGTAGGCGTAGACGTAAGTAAGAATTCGCACGAAGCGTTACGCTTCCACCTTTATATGGCGAACTGCCAAAGAGTGGAATTCCTTGCCTGCATACTTATTCCCCGAACGCTATAACTTGGGTATTTTCAAGGCGAGATTAAATAGGCATTATTTAGGTGTGTATACTACATCGTCGACCTTATCGTCACTTCCTTGATGGGAATCAGATGGAGGTCAAATGCGCACTTTTTTAATAAAAAAAACCGTAGACCACGGACAATAATGTCTTATAATATACTTTCTTTTCATTATTCATTTTTTTGCCACATTGTCTGCTTAATTATAAGGAATTAAAGGACTTACTTGATTTTAGTAAAATTCGTCTGAATAATGTATTCCAACTCAGCCTGTGATCCCAAGAAGGCATATGGCCAGAAGAATGCTTTGGTTGTATTCCTGATGCCTGCTTCTACATTGGGCACAAATTCCATCTTCTTTAAGAGCTTGTTTGTCAAATCATCAGAAGAGTTGAAGAACCATCTCTCCCATCCACCACGATCTGAGAGTAGGTACATTTTGTAATTATCACTTTTCAAACTCCGAGGCCTGGTGAATCTGACTCACGAAATTTATTACTTTAAAATTTCACTCTTGAACAATAATTTATTTTAAGCTAACTGTATACTATGTACTTTATGACGTAAGTTGTACAGATTTGAGCTAATACGAAAAATTTCATATAGGCTAAATTATGATAGTAGGTATAAATACTATTATTAATAGGTAGATTTGTAAAACAGATTGTCTAAGGAAGTACGCCACCTCTTATTTTTGCTGCCCGGCAGTAATGTGATCCGGATCATGGGACTTGTCAACTTTATGTCTCGGGGCGACGGGTGCTGTAGCAGTGCCCCTCAGATCTTGTGATTTAAATAAAGCTCTGCAACTCTTATTTACACGCTTTCCCTTCGTGCCCTCGTTGACATGATAAAAAACTTCTCGGTTTTTCAAGTTTCAACAGATTTGTCAGGTAAATGCACCTCTTAGCGTGTTTGTGCAAAGCATCCGATTCGTATTCGCTCCAAACCCGAGACTATACAAATCTAGAAAACTCGGACCCACTTCGGATGTCACTTGTGCAATAAGACCGATTAAAATACGAGAAAATACGAATATCGCTTGCACACTTAGAGATAAAATGATACCTAAGACGTTTCGAAACGTCATTTCTCGGATTCCGAACTGACATAAATCGAACGTAGTATGCAAACGCTCTTAGTGTGCACTTACAATATCTTTCTAATGTCTTCCGATCACAAAACTTACCCAAAGTGCCAATACGATAAAATCCACTCAAAAGTTGTGGTATAGAATCAACGGTTTCAGGAAACACTGGCAACGTGACGAACGCAATTATAGATCCCGTGTAACAGCTCGTGATAATTATTGTAAACAACCAATACCATCCTGCAATTCCATATAGAAAATGTATTGCGATGAACTAAAACAAACATTTAGTCTAATACCTATAAATTAGAAAAAAGTATTTTTTGATTTTCTATGCGCACTATATTCGTAAATACAACAGTTGCTTTAGCACTGATTCTTCTATAAGTACTTATGCAAGACTGTAAAAAAATTTAACTACTCGTAAGACATTGTAAAATCTTCACGGGACTATGATAAGATAAATTGTACCAATTAGTAGTCTTGTGGTGATCTTAGTCGTTCTGGTCCACGAATTCTTTCCCACGAAGGTGAAACAGTTAGTGAAGGTACCGAAGACATACCAAAACATATTTTCAACTTCACCACTGTTATGAAGAAGATGGCGTAAGGTATGTTTGTCGGAGAATGCCAAGGGGAAAATGGCGAAGAGATAAGTGAACGTTAGTGCTACCCAGACATGCCAATGGAATGGACCAAGGATAGCTCGATATCTGAAAAAATATAATTACAACTAGTAGTACCTAACAATAAACAAAAATACTTAATAAACAAAGGAGTATTGTATTTGTATATTGGATATTGGGACACCAAACAAATGTATACCGAAAGAAAAATAATAAAATCAATAATGGAGTTCGCAGGTTTTCGCATATCCCATAGTCCCATGAGTCAGTAGTCCTTAATCAAAGGGCCCGAAAAAATGGTTTATTTGAAAAAAAAAAACCAAATGTACGGGGACTTACATCTGAAATAATTATTTAATTACCAATAAAATCAACATTTTTTGTTTGATCTCCTACAGCGCAAAAGATTTGTCCGAAAACGCATTGTCGATTGAAATTTTAAATTGTGGTTGTATTAATTTGGAAACCAAGCCATTGTCAAAATAAATGAAAAATGCTAAATGTTTTGAATTCTTGAATGAAAACTCAAGTAAGTGGTATACAAATTGATCAACAGACAAGATGAAACTACAATGGTTTCAGGGCCCTGAAACCCTGTAGGTTCAGCTAAAGGATGTGCTTTCAGCAGTGGCTTTGGAGTGGGAGGCCAAATGCTGGACCACTTTATGTAAATATGTGTGCCTCTAGAAAACTTTTCAAGGAAAAGCTGAAGTGGTGTCAAGACAATGAAAATCAAATAAAGATGAACATTTTAGCTACACACCACAAAGCCAAAGACTTTGGCAGGTTCTGGAGGCACACAAATAAATTGCAACACAGGGCGGGTGTCCCAGCTAGCGTTAAGGGTGCGTCCGAGCCTGCCCAGATAGCAAATATGTTTAGGGCACGTTTTAAGATGGAGAGTCCGCTTAAGGGGGCGTCCAGTGTGGTCTCTGCTGGTGATTGTCGTGCTGCTCGGTCAATTAGCTTCTCTTATAAAGAGGTTGACCAGACTATTAAATCTATGCCAAGGGGAAAGTCGCCGGGGCACGATGGTCTCAATATTGAGCATCTCGTTCACGCGGGAGCACATCTCCCTCGGGTCCTAAAAATGTTCTTTAACATGTGCCTTATTCATTGTTATCTGCCAGACAGCCTTATGAAGACGATAGTAGTGCCCATAATAAAAAATAGGACGGGGGATGCCTCCGATGGGTCCAACTACAGACCAATATCGCTGGCAACAGTTGCGGCTAAAGTGCTGGATGGATTGCTGGACAGTGTGTTATCAAGGCACATAAAAACTCAGGATGCCCAGTTTGGGTTTAAGCCCAAACTATCAACGGAAAGTGCCATTCTATGCCTTAAACATACTGTCCAGTACTACACCAAAGCGCAAACGCCGGTCTTTGCCTGTTTCTTGGACTTATCGAGGGCATTCGATACGGTCTCATATGAGATACTATGGGACAAAATGCAAAGCTGCACTGGTACCCCGAGGGAGGTGATCGACCTATTCCGTTTCTGGTATAATCACCAAAACAACCAGGTGAAATGGGCAGGGGTGCTCTCGGACGTGTACAGATTGGAGTGTGGGGTGAGACAGGGTGCGCTCAGCTCGCCTAGGTTGTTCAATCTGTACATGGACGAGCTGATCGCTGGGCTCAGCAGCACGGGTATTGGCTGTTCAATCGGGGGTACCATGTTGAATAACATACGCTACGCGGACGATATGGTGCTGCTGTGCCCGTCGATCAGTGCGCTCGTGAAACTACTGAGGGTCTGTGAGGAGTACGCGGTGGCCCATGGCCTAAGGTACAATACGAGTAAGAGCGAGTTACTAGTATTTAAGGCTGGTAACAAAACCCTCGTCTCTTTCCCTCCAGTACATCTATGTGGATCTCCTCTTAATAGAGTGACTCGTTTTAAATACCTTGGGCATTGGGTCACCGAGTGTCTCCGTGATGATATGGACATGGAGAGGGAGCGCAGGGCGTTGGCCGTGCGCTGTAATATGTTGTCCCGCAGGTTTGCGCGTTGTAATGGGAATGTCAAGATCACCCTTTTTAAGGCGTTTTGTCAGACCTTTTACACGTGCAGTCTGTGGACAAGTTACACTAAAAGGGCGGCCAACGCCCTGCGTGTACAATATAATAACGGGTTCAGAATGCTGTTGGGACTGCCACGCTCCTGCAGCGCATCAGGCATGTTCGCGGAGGCGCGTACTGACACCTTCAGTGCGATAATACGCAAGAGATCAGCCTCCCTGATGCGACGTTTTCGTGATGGTTCCAACAGCCTTCTGAATTCAGTTTGGGAACAGCCGGCTTGCGCTTTTTGGAAGCACTGGAACCTAGTGCATATGGGTTCCAGGGGCTTGGTTTATAATTTAATGTAGTTTATTATTATTATTATTATTGAATTGTTCATACTAACATAGGCTATAAGATTTTGTAACTAACACACTATGGACATGGTCTGAAATAAATGAAATTATTATTATTATTATTATTATAAAACAACTAACGAAGAATCAAATTATTTGAACGAACCTAGGTAAAGCAGTAGACATCAAAGTGATAAAAACAGCACAATCCTGTGAATGAGCGCCAGATAGATCCATATAATGTCCTCTTTCAGAAGTCATGTACATGCCAGCCACGCCTATGTCCGCTCGACCCGTTGATATGTCTCTGGCCACGGCGTCCCCTGGACTGGAAAGTGATAACTATGTAACCAATACACTGGCGTTATATTGAAAAGCAGCGAATCCATCATCATCATCATCGTATTATTAGTAATCTCAATCTCCGCTGAGGAAAAGTTTCCTTAGTGGAGACCCTTTTGGCCCAATATGTCATACCACTCGTTTTCCAAAGATGGTGAAAAATTTTCACCGTTAGCGGTAGGAATTGCTACTACTTCCTATGTTTTCGTAAAAGATAAATGAAATAACATTAATGTGATATATAAAGGCCACAGCTTCTATCATTGGTAAAAAAGTATTTATTTTGTAAGTCGTATTTATTTAAAACTCCACTGCACACTTTTAGTACTATTGTAATTTTATTCTTGTTTTAAATTTCTTTATTTACAGATTTTAGTTGTTTTATAATTTACCTTTGATTTGTTAAATGTTTAAAGTATCAGGCTCCAGCTGAAACCAGCGCTGACGCTTTGCCGAGGATAAAGCTGGCTTGCCTTTTCGGCTATTAATATGTGTTTTTTTTATTTTAGTTTTCTTTTTTTTTATTCACTGTGTTATCTTTGAATACCTAGTTGTATTTGAATTATTATTGTATATTTTGGAATAGCTGAATACGTGTTCCTTTCATACTTTTACTAAATATTGACAAGGATTTTATTGATTACCTGCGAGACAAGCTTCGCTGCAGGAATCGTAGGCAATTTTCTCTGAACGCGATTACGTTACAATTGACTTGTGTTTGTTACTTCTATGTCATAATTTAAGTTATAATGTACCTACACAATCTTATTGTAAAATAAAATATTTTTTTTGTGTTTTTGTATGTAACTTAGAAATGAAAGTCGTGCGTCATCGATGTCTAAATTCAGACGCAACAGTTCTTCCACTAGGCTACCACCATACTCGTCGTGGTGAATGTTCACTGATCCCACGGCGCCGACTCAACCGGCAAGAGGGAAACCCGGGGGGGTTTTAGTGGGGTAGGCCCTCCAGTCTGGAGGGAGAGTCCCCACATAACCCCTGAGTCTCCCTGGGCTCAGGGGTATCCATAAAGATTTCCCCCCGTCAAAAAAAAAAAAAAAAAGGCTACCACCATACTAAACAGTAGAATGTTTAGACTATTATGTTATCATTATTAATGATAAAATGATAATTTATCATATATACGCAAATTTTGCAAATTGCTTGCGTGACTTATTTTCACTTGTTGTGGCAGTAATAATCTTTGTGTGCAATGGGTATCTATCTGAAAATCAGTGCTCTGAACGCTTTGTGTTTTCCAGCAAATATTGAGTTAGTGACACTCTTGTTATTTTTTTTTTTATTAATAATTTGTATTTTAATTTTATTTATTTGTGATTTCATTTTTTCAATATTTCTTTCTTTTAAGGTCTTCATTTTATGCTGTCATATTTATTTTTTGTTCTTTTCTTTCTTATTCCTTCTCATTATTAGTTTTTTCTTTCATTTTATGGTAACATTTGTAGTACACAAATTTCTTTCTTTCTTTAATATCTTACCCTAATAAAAGTTGATCTTTTGCATCGATAATTTCTATCGAAAAATTGTTTCTTACAGATAACAGCTTAAGCATCCTTATTTCAATACCATCCCAGGTGACTCGCGGGTTACCACCATCGGCATCCGATTTTATCCTGCAAATAAGTGACGAATAAATCTGGCCTAATTTGTTTACTAATAATCTTAAATTATTGCACCGTATTGACCGCATAAGTTATTTCATTCTACATAACAGGAAATAATGTTGAATAATGTTCTGTGAATAATATCACTTCTACATAAATACTATCACGCCTGTCTCCTACTTGAGCATTTCCTGACGTACACTCATTTCGGTCTTTCAGAGTGAAATCCGGACTCGAACTTCGGACTCTAATATCGTATGTATACAGTATTAAAGTTTGAGTTATGAAGTTGCCAAAACTTTAGAACTAGTTCCGGCAGCTTTGATTTTTATATTATACCTTTTTAGTGATTAAGATTCACGTTAGAAACTTTTATCAAATAAAATCTTCTAAATTAAACATTTTGGCGTTAGTCGTTTTTATTTCGTTTTGGTTAATTTTGCATTAGCTTTAAAATTAAGACAAGAATACTTAGTGTGTTTTTAATCCGAGTTTCTACATGGCACTAATGCAATGCAAACGATTCGAACCATTAACAACGTGTATATAGAGGTCACAACCAATGAACGCAATGTGAATTCGCACTATTGGTGTAATAAGATCACATCTCCAAAATAACAACTTTTCAGGAGAGGAACCTCAACAAAAATTTCGTCACCGTCATTTAAGTCTCCCACTGGGCAAAGTTCCTCCTAAAGACAGGATTTTTAAGCCATATTCCACAAATATACAGACACTACTACTATTTAACCCTTTAACTCTTTGCGGCACAGATTTTTATTATCAGATTAAAAATATTTTTTGTGTCCTGCTACTCAATCGGGATTAATTATAATCATTCTTGCACTTTTTTTGCAATTTGCATGATGGGGTGGTTACTATTAATACTCACAGTGAAGAAAATGGCAAAAATTAATTTAAAAAAAAGTTGTATTTTTAATATTGAACTTGTTTTATGCGCTTAGTTTATGCCAAAAGACATATGCGTTTGGAACTTCGAAGGAGTAAACATGTTTCGAAGATCATCGTAAAAATTTAATTTTTTATGCTGGTCCTCGAAACATGATTTCCCCTCACGATAGCAATGAGGGATTGCATATTTTGCAGCTTTAAATAGACCTAGCAGGTCTTTCTTGCGTGCTGCATCTGCCGCGGCGCTACGGCTGTTAGAAACCATATAGGTGGTTTGTTGTTGATTTAATCATAGAATTAAAACACAAAACCAATAGATTTCCTTCCTTCCAAAACCAATAGAGCCTTCAAAGTGGTGGTTATCTCTCGTGACCACCGTGAAGAAAAGAGCAACAAACGCGAGACTCCATGCCCTTTATCTTCAACCCTACTACTGGTCCTACTACTGCTGGGCTCGACTCTCCTCTCAGGCGAGGGTTTAGGCCGTAGCCCGCTACGCTGGTCCAATGCGGGTTGGGGACTTTATTTTATTTTATTTATTTATTAGGCACACCAACAGTTACTACAATAATTCAAGAGTAAGTAATACATTTCACAAACTAATCTAATTGCGTAACCATTTATAGGCGAGCACCTCAAGCAAAAATAAACATGTGTGTATAAATTAAAAGGAAAAAGAAGAGGAAACAAAAAATAACAAAAACAGTTTTAATAATTTTAAGACCAAGAAACTAACTTAAAAAAGATATATATATTTTTAAGCAGAATACAAAACGCAACTAATACTCAACCATGTTATCTGGTGGAACCAAGAAAAGTAAGAATATTGTTTCTAAAACCTAGCCGCGAGTCAATAAATACGTTTGGAACAGTCATTATATAGATTAGACATGCGAGCTACAGGGGAGTTACAACCCAGTACCGTTCTACGACGAGGCGGGTGAAAAAGCCTTACATGAGATCTCGGAAGTCTGGCAGGAATCTTAAAATTTAAATTACCAAGCAATTGTGGACAGTCAACCTTATAGCGAACAATCTTATATAGGAAAACCATATCTAAAAGTTCTCTGCGCTTCGAGAGAGACGTTATTTTGAAATGCGCAAGTCTCCTGTTGTACGATTTAAATTTTTTTGCAAGACCCACAGAGAATGACAAGTGCCATAAAAAGCGCTTTTGCACCCGTTCTAAATGTAAAGAGTTAACAGCATAGTGGGGTCGCCAAACCACGCTTCCATATTCTAGTATACTCCTAACTAAGCCGTTGTAAATAAGTATTTTCGCTCGTACGCTGCGAAAGATTTTACTATTTCTTAATACGAAGCCGAGCATCCTGGACGCTTTATTAACAGTTGAATCAATATGCGGTTTAAAAGTAAGCTTTTTATCAATTATCACGCCCAGGTCCTTTATACAGTCCACTTCAGTTAAAAAAGTTCCTTCCAAAGTATAAGCTGATGGGAAAACATGCAATCTACGAGTGAATTTAATGAAAGAGCATTTGCCAGCATTGAGAAACATGCCATTAGCCTTGCACCAAAAGCTTAACTTATCAAGGTCACTTTGTAGTAAAGGAATATCATTTGCTGAATTGATTATCTTAACTAACTTAAGATCATCAGCATATAAAAATGGTGTTGAGAATTTAAAAATATCAGGGATGTCATTTACAAATATATTAAAAAGAATAGGACCAAGATGGGAGCCCTGAGGAACTCCAGAGGTAATGTTACATATGTCAGAGGAGAATCCATTTACCACCACGTAAAATTTTCTATTATTAAGGTAAGATACGAGCCACTGTAACATAGAACCACCAAATCCATACTTTGCTAACTTCTCACTAAGAACACTATGCGAAACTTTATCAAAGGCCCTGCTGAAATCGGTATAAATGACGTCAACCTGCGCGTTCGAGTCTAAAGCACCAGCAACTGCCTCCACAAAAGTCACCAAGTTAGTGGAAGTTGATCGACCTTTAGTGAAGCCATGCTGGTGAACCGACAGGTATTTACTAAAGTAATTTTGAATGCGTGGACAAACTAGGGCTTCCAAAAGCTTAGCGAACGCTGACAGAATTGAAATGGGTCTATTATTTCCTACTAGTTCATCATCACCTGACTTAAGAATCGGTACCACTTTTGCCATTTTCCATTCACTTGGGAAGATACCGGTGCTTAATGAGACATTATAAATCAGGGTTAGTGGAACAGCTAGAGACTCGGCACAATTTGAGATAAAAACTGGAGGAATCCCGTCCGGTCCAGCACCTTTAGACTTATCTAAGGACTTAAAGCACTTGCTGACCTCAGATTCGGCAATACAGAGCTTTGCGAAACAGTCAGTGTTTTTCACAAAGTCGACAACTGAGCTGTTATTATGGATGCTATCGTGAATTACTTGCGAGTTATCCTCATACACCGATTTAAAGTGGCTAGCAAATATTATAATAATAGACTTCATACTTTTCCGAAGGTTTTGAACCTTCCTCGACAAGCAGGTTTCATCGCGCTATTTTCCTTCACCGAAAAGCCCAAGGTAAATTTCAAATTAAATTTCGCTCATAAACTCCGAGGGACTCAGAGGTATGAACCCGGATTCGAACCCACGGCCTCTGCTTGAGAAACGGTAAGTCAATCCATTAGGCTACCACGGTTTTTTTCCCACGTCCGATCTATGCAATATTATTATAGTGGTTCCCTGGTAAGTGAAGTTAGTAGATGCCATTTCCGTTGCTAACTTTTTAAAAAACAATAATCGTTTATTCTTCTAATGGCAAATATTTTATCATATACGTTTAGAAATTGAAAATGTAGTATTAACATAGTTAATCGAAACTTCAAGGGTGGTAAATAAATTACCTTTATTTTATTAAGGTAACCCAACCATAAAGACTCCTAGCTATGGACATAATAATATCTCACCCTAATACCACAATTGACCTCTTCGAGGACTTCTATCCTTCTACTTCATCTCAATAACTACACATTTCAAACTGTAATATCTTATACATACCTTCTAATTACGAACGGTGGCTTATTAGCAGCAGCAACAACAAACCTATGACCCGCGTAGCCATCAGTCATTTTTTTTGGGAACAAGTTTACCTCTCTAGAGAACTTTCCACGTGTCCAAGAATTTAGCACGACAGGTTTACTAGCTCCAAGACCATCGATGAACAATTTATGTGTGTACAAAATGTAGGGCGCTTCCTAAAATATGAAATTAAATGATCCATTCATATATAGTCAAAGTACATTTATACTAAGCGAGAGTTCATGATATCTTCAGAAATTAATGTGGTCTGTAACGGTCCTGTTTTAAACCGACTTCAAAAAAAGAAGAGGTTCCCAATTCGACTGTATTTTTTTCTTTTTTGTGTGTATGTTACACGAATACTTCGTCCGATAACAAGTGAAACTTGTAATTTATGTCCGTTGGTGTTAAAAGAAATGGTATTATATTTATAAGTTTGATAATGCACCGTCAACAGCAGAAACAGTGACATTTTAAGAAAGAAGATTTGTATGAAAACAAAAGTGTGGCATACCGCCTTATACCTTTTGCCTATTTTGAATTATAGAAATTAATTTTTCTAATGGTAATTTCAATTCAAATCAGCAAAATATTTTTGAGAATATTTTCTGCAGCTATTTTTTTTTACAGATATTGTAAGTGATCAAACCTCACCAAAGTATAGTCACCATCTTCCCTAAAGCTTTGTCCGATAACTAATAAATTGATAAACATCCTCGATAATGGCCCAGCAAGGAATTCTTGAACTGCCCATTGAGACGATCTAGCTATTACCACAACTTTACTATCTGATTGCTTTCCTAACACTTTACCGCTGGTTCCAACGTCAAGCAAGAAAACTATAAAATGATGGCATTCAGAAGTTCCCTTCAACAACTTTGGTTCCTCCAACTGATCGATGTCGTTAATGTATCCATGAATAAAAGTCACTGGAAAGCCTTTAAGCAAATCCTGGAATAAGTAACTATCTTTGGACTTTACTTGACTATCGTAAAGTATCACTGGTGTACAATCATATAGGTATGTCAAAGTTATATTGTGAACCAACTTTATTAACGACTCAGATTGGTCAAATATTGTACTTTTTTGAAGAAAATGTTCATTCCATATTTCCTCTCTGGTTTTTGGGTGTCCATAAAACACTGGGTCTGTAGCCCGTTTTCTTGCCCCTTGGTTAGTTTTCTGAATATATCTAATTTTGCCTTGTAAATCAAATTGTCTAACTATAGGCATATGTTTCACAAAATTTGTACTCTTATTCGCAAGGCTTTCTTCCACATTTATTATCACTTTACTTTGAAGATCTCTTTTACTTATCACTTTATGTACATTTGCCTTTGCATTAAATCCATTTAACGCAGATTGAGATGGATAGTATTCTATCTCTTGACTATTCACCAATTCTAATGTTAGCATTAGTATTACCGTGTATTTTAAACGCGTCATAATGCAGTAAAGATGTTTGTTAAGTACAGAAGGATTTGCAAAAAGATTCTTTGACACGAGGTAACGGCTTTTTATACTACGATTTTGAAAGACCTTGATCAATAGTGACATGAAATGTCAGCCGACAGGTGTTACGATTGAAATTTAAATTTTTGATGAATTCGGTGGCACAGTCTCGGTCACGGCTATGAACATTGAACATTCGATCAAGGGTGATCGTTATAACCTTCCAATATCATATTATTATGTAATTAATATCGATATTTCATAGACCAAAGTCACTGACAAAGTTTCATATAAATATTTAGTTTTTTTACACTAAGAATCGGCCTCCACGCACGCAACATTGAAAATAAAATAAAAAATCTTATTTTACAGCATTTTATTCAGCACTGGTCGATATTCTTTACATTCATTTTTACATAAATAAGGTTTACCAAAATAAAGAATATGTTGACAATTTTCTTGCTAGATATAAAACAGATCTCAGTGCTAAGTCAAGTCAAAGTCCGAAATACATAGCAATATCCGAGTGAATTGAAACCATACGAGTAAGTAACATCAGGAATAAAAAAGTGAAACTACCGATTTTAAATACTATACCTATATTTACAATAGTAGGAGTTATTATCATCTAAATAGTAAATTTAAATAGATTCGTAGCAAGCGCTTCCAATAACTTCAGTCGCAATAGCAAACTAAAGCCTTTAAAAAGTAACTGAGTAAAAAAATATCAAAAGAAATCTGCTGCTTGAGTCATCTTCCATGTAAATATCGATGAAATTAAAAAGTCAAATATGAAAGTTAAAGAAAAAATCTTCCAACATGACTCAAATCAGAGATTCGTAAACATATTTAGCTAAAATAGATACGTCCGCAAACTATCAATATGATCATAGCAATCGCATAGACATGTGCTACATCACTTTAGCGATGTTGTCAGACGTCTATGCAAAGCCGGAAATTTCGAATTTCCAACAGAAATTTTCACACATGATTTTACCGAAAAAGAATTTGTCTGTACCAAAATCAGCTGATACAAGAACGTAATTAATGTTATTCTAAACAAGCACTACAATTATACTAATCCTATATTTACAATTCATATAAAAGGCAGTGTCAACCACGAAGCTGGCAAGATTAGAAAAACGTATTTTCTAAATTTTAATATGGCTTTCGTATAAAATAATCGAAAATGGTAATCAAGGTGAGGTCCTAACATAATAGTTGATACTGCATGTTTTAAAATACTGAATTTTTTTCTTTATTAAGGTACACTTAAAGTGTACCTTCTTGTTTTTCATCATTCGTGAAAGAGTATTGTAAAAAATAATATATTAACACAAAATAGGAATAACATTGCAAAATTCAATTGTATGAAATCATGCGACATACAAATTTTATCTGGTCTGCTATTCGTTAAAAGATTGATTCGCTCCACCTAGATGATTGAAAACACTTAATATCACAGTTTCCAATACAATTATCATGACAACTCGCTTATATGAAGAACAAATTCATTATACTAACGGAAAATCCAATTGTTTCCTCAGGTAATTCAAAAGACTGCTTTGTGACCATCAAAATCTAAATGGCACTCTTTAGTTGGTGACAAAACAATACTATAAAGTATTTTGCCTCATTGGCTTGTAATACCTATTATTTCATCAATTTCGGTGTTGGGTGTAATTTCAAGTTTTACTATTTCTAAGACTAAATTGAATTCATTTATTCTTCGATTTCGTTGTCAATTCGCGAGGATCTGATGCCAGTTTTGCCGGTCCATGGGTAAACATCCGGGCAGGGCTGACATGTTCTCATATATCGAACGCCGGACTTGTGCCATAGGTTGCAAACTTTAGGGTTGTTACATTTCCTTGGTCGGTCCTGGAAAACAAATAAAACTTTTTTTTTTTATATTATTACCTCATAAATTGTTTTCATTTGAGCGAATATCACTGCATATTTTAGTCATTACTAATCAAATATTGTACAATAACAAATTCTATACAGAAGATGACGAGGTACAGAGTGATAACTCTAAATCGTACCTGATAATTGCACTGGAATGGCTGGAAGTTGTTAAGTCTAGAAATGGGTGTCGGGTCTCGCACCCACTGCAAAGCTTGCCAGTTAGTGACGATCCACACATCAGGCATCTGGTTAATGAAGTCCAGGAACATTATGAAACCTTCCTTGTGATGCGGCTGAGTAAACCAGGCGGCGTGATAATAAAGACCGAAAGGTGCCCTGTAATAAGATTTTATCAATATCTGCACTTCCATGATAATTACAGACTAAACATTACAAACAAATTATTAAACTGAAACTAGAATATACCTGTTAGTGGTGTAATGTCTGTCGAAGTTCTTTAATATCATTTTGTAAACGCCTTCTGCATCTGGAGGGTTAGCACAAGCGTCACCCATAGAACATCTGCCTCCATTTAAATCTTGCCACATCACCATAGGAACTTCCCATACACCTGAAATGTCAATTTATAAAAATATTATTTCTTGATTTTTTTAAGGCTCATAGTATCACCTAAAAGAAAAGAAATAAAATATATTTTACCTGGATAAGATTTCGTTGGGCAAGGAGGTATCATGCAGTCGTGGAACAATTTGTAATCAAGAGTGTAAGGCCAACTCGGTGGTCTGTTCTCGTAAACGGGCAATGAGGAATCATAAGTGAAGTTCGAATCGTGCAACATCTTGAACATTTTGTTTCCACCAACAGAGAGGAAAGGCGCTCTCATACCTCTGACGTCCTCAAGTTTAACACCACCATATGCAGACAGAATTTCTCTTTGACCACCCACTTCTCTATTCCATTTCTTTTGGGAGAATTGTTCTCCAAAACTATGGCTGTAATTTTAAAATAAACCATTAAAAATCAAAATACAAAGTAAAATTAATCCAATGAAAGTCATACTTAAAAGAAAATGTCAAAGTAGAAATTTAGTTTGAAAAAGGGAAAATTAAGACTGAAATAATTTCGGAATGCTTCAGATCTTTATAGAAAATTAAAAGACAAGTTCTTGTATGGTGCAAAATAGTAAAAGTTTGCATAGGCATAGGAAAGAATATAAAGTTACTGTCACACTGTCAAAACCGTACTAAAGGAAACGTTTTTGCAGTAAATCATTTTCCGACTTACGAAATTGTGTGTGAGGCCATCTCGTGTCCACTTGCGTAAAGGTTCTGTACTTGGCTGTAATCTGTCCATTCGTGGGATACGTAAAACGTGGCCGCAATTGGACAGCCGTTGGGGTTCACACGGTCCTTCTCAAATAGGTCAGCATATAGACCCTTATTTAAGTCGTTAACGGAATCATCGAATGTCAGAAGAACTATTTGTGGTACGCTTTCCACCGGTAAGTCACCTGTATGTCAAGGGATTGGTAATGTGCGTGGTCGGTATAAGTCGTGCCAGGAAAAGGAAGAGCGAGAGGTAAGAAAGGGCCGTAGAAGAAGCAAGGAAGAAAAAAATAGTATTAATTTAAGTAGATAGTGCCAACTTAACCTATGAAAGAATATAGATGGCCATAAATATGTTAGTCCTCCAAAGATTTAAGGAATCCCATCCAACGATCCCAGTCAGAAGACAACCCAGTTTTTTATTGACTTACGATATAGTGTGCGATGCTAGTTCGTGGCCATCTGCATAGAGGTTTTGGATTTGACTATAGTCAGTCCACTCATGAGAGACGTAAAAAGTAGCAGATATCGGACAGCCATTAGGATTTACTCGTCCTCTTTCAAAAAGTTCTTCGTAGTACATTTTATTCAAGTCATTCACTGCATCGTCGAATGTTATAAGTACTGTTTGAGGTACTTCTTCAACAGGCAAGTTTCCTGGGTTGTTCACAAAAGTTTAAAACTAATACTTAATTATTTAGTCTATGAGCTCTCATATCTATCAACTTTCTATTTTCCTCTTTTAATCCTGTTATTGATTAATACTTATCAAGAATTTGACTAACTCATATATTAAAATAATTAATATACTAAGTAAGTAATCACCGTTACAAAAGTCAAACATACCAGGAATGTCCTTTCCACCACAGAAGCAATCAGGTAACAAGCAGACGTCCTTTCGGCATTTAGCTGCAGTCTTATCGGGCGTTGGCTGAGGATACACTGGTGCAGGTCTTCTTGGAGGATTGGCGTAGATGTCAATTATCGGATTATTATTTGTAACAACTGAGGTCGACGGCTTTAACGTTGGACGACTGCGGCTGCTCAAAAAGAAAATCATGTTAATCACACAACTAATCATATAATGAAAATAACAATACTGTGTAAAATAATGAAAGGCTTATGAGATGCTTAAAGACTTAAAAACTTAGCAAACAAGCTTTTGGAACTTGCAAGCGGAAGCTAGTCGAGTTCGGAAGTAAACATAAGCTGGTGGTCTTTCATATCATGTTCTAACGTTGGTGGCGTTCCTCTGTGAGAAGTTTGCTGCTGAGGAGAATCCGAACCAATCAGGGTGGAGTAATGAGCTGAACCGCGTCCACGATTACTGGTGGGCCTAGAAAATTTTAAATTTCCAATGAATTGTTCACATATGATTATGCAGTTAGTATGCGTGATTTAGAGTAAAGCATTTATTACCACTCAAAGTTCACTGTATAACTTAAAGTATTATGTAAAGTACTAAGGAAACCTTTAATGTAAACAAAGTAGTGTAAAAAAACAACAATATAGGTAAAATAATTTAACGGTTCTTTACATTTTTTTCTTACAAGAAAAAAGTAATAGTTACAAAACATGCCAGTAGTAGTATAACAAACCACGTTTGATACACTAACTTAGTGTAGGTGCACTTACTTTCTAAATGATGAATTGCTATGTGGTGCGCAAATTTACAGTACAACTACATTGAGGAACTTTCTACTTCCAACATTTCCAACTACTATTAGTCTAACTACATTACGTACTATAATGCAGGAAATGGAAATGGTCGCGTCAGGAGTTAACAATTCAGAAACTCAATAAAACCGACTCGAAGTCCCCCAATGAGAAGAACATATTAAGCGACAGAATTTAGCTGTAGGTGCTATTAAAGAGTTTAATAATAGATCTTTCATGCTAGTTACTCCGCTCGGCTGAAAGTAAGGACTTTAAAAGACGAAGCCTCCACCTTCCGCAAGTTAATGTGAGAACAGTCAGGCTGCTTAGGTCGGCGTGTAATACCTCTGGTATTTGATTTCGTTGCATTTTGGGTTCGCTTGCAGACTGTTATCTGATGAGCATTTGGACGACGATTGGTAACTCCTGCGCCCACCTCCTGGGTTTGTCGCAGCTAACTTTATGGCGGGATTGACTCGCGATGCTCGCGTGGGGAAGGATAAACTTTTAGTTGTCGATGTAAGTGGAACCCTCACAGTCGTTGACTTAGTCGTGCTTGTTGTTGTCGCAATTTCTGGGATTTTGTTAGTAGGTCGGTTCCATTCAATCTCAGTCGGTGTTATAGAAATCTCAGGGATAGGCTTAGTCGGTCTGGTCACTTCGTTGTCGTCGTTGTTATAAGATACGCTGTCATACAAACTTTGCACAGTCGATGGCTTGTCGGTAAGTAAGTTTTGGAATTTTTGTGAATTTTCTAATGATTTGTAACTATCTTCAGATTGTTCAGGTCTATTTATAATAAATATATTAAATTTTGATTGTCGCGGGAGTTTAGCTGGTGCTTTATGTAAATCGGTGTTAATAGAACTTTGTTCACTGTAGGGCGTTGGTACAGGATTTTGATAAACAAGAGGAGTATTTATTGTAGTTGTAGTAGTATTTGTTATCGACGTAAAATCTTGGTGATTGTCATTATCTCTTTCAGAATACGAAGTGTCAATCCTCGGAGAAACAAATTTGGGAGGAGGAGATTCTGTTATTATCTGTAACCTCTTAACATTATTTCGCAAAGGTTTTTCATCGGCATACATCGGGGTCTTCTTTTGGAAACCAATATTAACAACTTTTTCTTCAGGTTGTCTTGTAGTTGAAATGAAAGGAGTTGTGCTTGTAAAACCTAATACTGGTCTAGGTCTAGGAGCAGGGCTGGCAATATTGTTCAGAAAAGCTTTAATAATATTTTTTACCGTACCACTTAGAACTTCAGTGGTATGATCTGGTATTTCTTCATCCACTATGCGGTAACTATAATAAGACTTAGGAGTTTTTTCTTCGGTGCCTACACTTCTATCTATAAAATTCTTGGGCGCGGGAGTTGTATACAGAGTAGTGGATGTCGTACTGGTAGTGTAATCCTGCAATACTTCTTTTTTATCATAAACACTCCGTAAATTATCTAATGCCCGATAAGGTGATACAGTAGGTTTATCAAATACTTCCTCAGAAGAACTATATTGGTTCCATTTAGGGGAATTGCTAATGACTGTGTCATTTACTGCAAAGTTTATATTACTACTGGTTCTGGCATTTTGTAGACCTGTTTCAATTAAAACGTCTGTGTTAATGATATTCTCTGTGGAATCTTCTTTTGACTCTTGGTTTGCTCCAAACGGTGCCGGCCGTTTTATGACTGTTTTGAGATAGTACTTAGTAGTAGAAGGAGATGTTGTAGGAGTTAATTTGATCCTCGGTTTTATTTGTTTTACAACCAGTTTTGGTTTGACGGGTCTGACATAAATGGGTTGGTCCTCTTCTTCACGTACAAATTCCGAATTGCTATCTTTACGACGCAGTGAGTTCTCAGAAGAAAGATCAGAATTGATTATTGTATCTTCTTGGGACTGTATTGATGTCTCTCGATCACTTATATCTTCATTAGAAAAAGTGTTTACCGGCTTTTCGCTGAATTTCGTAGCATCCTGATGTTGAGCATTATTATATTTATCAAATGGTCGCGTAATAACCGTCAGCGTGTATGGATTATGCGTATTATTTGGGTTCCTCCTAATGGAAAAACCAGTTGTTAGTGACACAACCTTCTTTTCATTTTCCTGATTAGAGGAAACCTCACCAACTAATGCTTCATTATCGGTATTGTTAGTCACACGGAAAGGAAGTCTAAAGTTAGGTATTTTTTCAGTCGATGTTAAAGTCTCATGTAACCTATACGAGTTGTCTGTCTTTTCAAAGGGTTTAGCTAAAGAGGAGAAGTTTATCAATGGTGAGGGTGAAGTTAGGATTGGAGGAGCGGACCCGTCGGAGCGGGTTTCGCTTGAAGAGGAAGAAGGAAGCCGAATAGGGTTTTCAACTGTGGATGATCTGTTGAATACAAAGCAAAAGAAACTTTCTAATTTAAGCTCTTTAAATACAAATCTACTATAGACATTAAATACAATTTTCTATCTCGATAGCCTAAATATTGTTTTTGCGCTTTGAGACGTTTTAGTAGTATTAGGCCGGGTAAATTAGTGTCAGGTACAGTATTTTGATATCAGGATTAGGATAAAAGATACCACAAAAGCCTACACAGATGCTACTTTACAGCTACCTAGCAAAGAAGAAGGAGTAAGAGCTGATAATAATGTTCAAGTATTTACACTCTGTGAAGTGTCATCACAACCTTTCAACCGACACAAACACATATTATTCAGAAACCAGGAAAAGTTAAAACTTGTTAATCAATTAGTTAATCAGTTTAAAGGTTGTAAGTGTGTAGAAATTTGAAAAGGAGTTTAGTAAAATAGTAATGTGATCGTTGATGAATTTGGATGATTCAAGCCTGGATGATCACGTTCACTTATTGAACATCTTTTGTAGTACCTTGGAGTGTATCGAGACGGGATCATAGCTTCGGTGAAAGGTGCAGTAGTCGGGCGTTGTGTGGTGCTAGTGCTGGTTGTAGAAGGAGTGGTGCTTATAGAAGTAGCTTCGTATATAGTTGTCTTCGCGCTGCTCGGATTATGGTCATAGCCCAATTCGTTACCATCGCCCCTGGATCGTTTGCAATCGATCATGTTTTAAATAGTTTCGCTAAGGCATTACGTCTAGCTATGAAGTCTAAGGAATTCACTGATCTGTTTCAATAATTTACATTGTATATAAAGAAAAACTCTTACCTAGTCGAGTGACGAATGGGTGCCTGGTACTGATTCTGATTGTTTATCTGAAACATAATACAAACAATAATTAATGCAAAGCTATATCCATTAGATCGTAAATTAGTGACTAAAGTAGTAATTCATATTCATTTATTAATTACATGTGGGTTAACAAAGGTGTTACATAAATGTATTCCAGCACACGAACCTCATAACGGCACTACAATGACTGTTTCGTACATATGCTATGTCATTAACTTTTACAATTAATAAATATGGCCAAAGCAAAATAATTTAGATTACAATAATTAATATTAAAATATCCATAAATATAGTGAAGTCAAGCAATTTAATCATATAATCACTAATCAAAATTAAATTACTATATTAATTAATTAAAAACGTTCCTAGATCATGTTATTATTATGTCCAGTAAATATTTATATATAATTAATATATAATAATTATACTATCTAATCGTACAATAATTATATACGAATGATCATGAACATAATTATTATATGATTAAGTAAATGACACATTGACTTTTTTCACACACCTGTCCATGAATGAGAGCATCATCGTAGTCTTCCTGCAAAGGCCTCGGAGTGTAATTCTGGACGGCCGGTCGTCTCGGCGGAGGCGTACCCCGGTAGGTTTGCTGGACTGCAGGGCGGAGCGAGGCCGTGTTATATTGCTGCACATAGTCTGCCAACACCGGCACCAACCGCCCGTTAGTACGTTATGTGCTTCCCAACAATGTGGTCAGAAAAAGGTGAAGTAAGAATTGAGTATCATAGATTAAAGGTGACGGAGGAGATAATTACGGTTCGAAGGTTAGGCCCATACCAGGATTCAGTTTCAGTGTAATTTTGCTTTTATATTTGTGAAGTGCAATAGAAAAGTAGAAATAAAATGATGGGAACTATTTGAATATCGAAGTGCAAGCGTTGCAAGGATTGATTTGAAAATTTAGCAACAGAGTAATTTGGTCGCAAATAAGTGCTTAAAATATATTTTTTATATTAGTATTTTCAGAGTGGAATAATACAAAATATGTTACAAAATGTTATAATGAAAACTAAAAAAAAATATGACATGTGATTCCAAATTACCGCGAAATTACCATATTGAATATACTGACATATTTTAAATTTCTTGAATTGCTTGACAAGTATTACTATTTATCTGTTATATGTTATAAATTGAGACCCAATGACATAATTAAAACAATTAAATCTCGGTTGCAAGTGAATAAATACATTCAGTGAGTATAAGTACAATTTTACCTGAATCCTTATAAAGTTCACCATCTTCGTCATACACAGCGTAAACTGGGTCGTACTGATCAGGATTGTAGCTCTGAGATCCGTTGTATAGCATTTTTGGGCGAGGACTTGCCGAAAATGAGGACGGTGTCACTGCAGTCGGCTCCAGGCTGCAATAAAAACATTAACTCTCCAGAAAGTTACAAATCAGGCGAGAAAATAATACAAATTTATAATCATCATGTCACGGATATATACAAAGCCGTTTTAGTTGGTCAGTCTTCCTGTACAGTCTAAAGTCAACGTCAGTGTTAGTTTTGACAGTTGTGACGTGAAGAATAGCGTGGAAATCAACTAAAAGAAGGGTAGGGATTTCGTTAGTTTAATGCCCAAGATTGGACGTTTTTTTAGTAGAAAAATTAGTAAGGGCACACTTTGGGGTGACTCAAAAATTACCTGTTGGTCTTATCATCGTGTTTAGTCTTTGTGAAACGAGTCTCCTGGTTGTGGTTGTCACGAGGTGTAGTCAGTTTCATTGCGACTAGATTATGATGTCTTATCCTTCCTCTAATTTGTTTTTCCTCAGTGGTCGTAAGGTCTTTTACAGTTGTCGGCTTAGCGAGTCTATGCCTAACTGTATATGGTCTTAGGGTTGTCTGATTAAGGTATTTAGGGGGTTTTGCTGTGTATGGGCTGCTATCAGAATACATTGGTTTTCTAAAATGAATAGTACGATTCCGAGACGGGTGAATTAGTTGATAATTAGAAATGTCTGGGCGGAGTAAAACGTTTGGGGCTGGAGTATTGTAGCCTATCATGACTGGTACAGGAATTTTTCCATTAAAATATTTATTATCTTTTAAAGGCGATTTAGTTACTACAGATACATCATTGTGGTTTTTAGTAGCTGTGTCGGGTTTTTGAGAGTTATATTTTGCTGGCCGTCCATATGAAGTACGTAGAGGCTTGTTATTTTCGGGGCTTTCTTCAGAATCTTCATAGTCTTCATATTCTTGATAATTTTGAGCCATAGGAGGACGTTGGGGCTTTATTTCTGTACTAGGCATATATTTAGATTTTACTGGCGGTTCATAGTAATATTGTTCGTCTTCGTCATCGTAATAATAGTCATTCATTTCTGGCGAAGGCTTAGGAATAGGCCTACGTTTAGTGGTTGGTTTTGTTGTAGTAGTAACGAAATCTTTGACAGGACTTGGATAATTTTGATTACGTGTCGGTATTTTCGCCGCTGATTTTATCGCTTGCGCGAATAAATTTTCTAATTTAGGAAGTTCGGAAACGGTTTGAGGTCTAGGAGAAGAATTAATGTAAAATTCTGTTGTTGGATTTTTCCAATAATATTGGAGTGCAGCTAATTGTTCGTTAGCCAGTGTTGTCAATGGCTTAGTTGTTGATTGTTTGAATGCCAACAAGGCATTATGAGGTTTTACCGTTGAAAATAAGTATGGTTTTCCTGAAGAGATTAAGTGCGGATGTAAACTTAGAAATTTTTCGGGATTTACCATGAACTGTTGTTTTGGAGACGATATAGCAATTGGGGATCCAGTACTAGTGATAAATATGTAAGGTTTCTGTGTGATCGTGAACATCTGTCTAGTTTCTCCTTTTTGCTTGTCGCTATTTGGTTTGAACGTACTACTTACTGATTGCTGGAAATTATACGTAATTGGAAGTTGTCTATCGTCTTTGAAATTTGGTGGTTTAAGTTTCGGTATAATGGCTTCCAACGGAATGCCCGGATTATGTGGCTTGTTATGTATATTGTCATCAAAAGTTTGATGCTGGTGTTGAACATAATTTTGTTGGGTTGGATGGGGTAATTCAATCAATTTTTGGAATTTCTGTGAATGTTTAGTGTTTGATTGAGTGCTATGATCATTTTGCTCTTGGACTGTTACTCCTTCGGGGCCAGTAGGAACACTAAATGGTCGTGGAGTACTCATTCCATGGTAATTCAGAGTTGACGATCGGACACCGGAATGTGGAGTCAACGGTGTTGTATTATCTGTGGGCGCATTTATAATTTTAACGGCAACATTTTGATTAGGTTTAGGACTAGGTTTTGGTGTTTCATTTTCCTCGTGTATCGTCGCATAATGATCACCTCTTAGCTTAGCTAGAAAAGCGTCAAAATCAAAATTGGGATCAGCGAATGGATTTTCTATTTCAGGGAACTTATAATGTGTGTATTCGTAAGGAGGTTCTGGAAAATCATGTTTGTAACCATCATCTTCATCTTCTTTATCTGAATCTTCATCAGAATCCTCGTCGTCTTCTTCCTCTTCATCATCATCATTATCATCATAGTCTTGGTTTTTATTCGGTGGTCTATTCTCAATCTGCTTTTGACTACCATTTCCATTTCGAATATGAACTCGTCCTGTTTGAGCATTTGCATTTTGAGAAGGATGTATTCTATATTTAGATCTTACACGCGAAGTAGTGTGCGTCTTTACAGGCTTGTCAGTAACAATTGTACTTGGAAGCAATGACGAATCTTTCAATGAAACTTGATTATTTGGATTACTAGTAGACGAAACAAATTGTGAATACTGATTGTTATTCTGATTGTCCTGATTATTGCCTACATTTTTTACATTATTAAAAAATCCTCCAGCTAGTGATGAAAACAAGTTCTCCTTGTTCTGTAAAGAAGATATTGGTGGAGATTTTGTTATAATTTGAGTAGCTACGTTCATAGGTGCGTGCGGCAACCTTTGACTGAAAGGATCAGGTAGGCTTGCCTTGAAAGGTTTTTGTGATTGATTACTGTCCTGTTGATATTGTACGAATGGATTTGCTGTAGAATAAAAATTATTTTCAGAAGAATATGGTTTGCGAGTGCCATCATGATAATTACTTAAACCGTTAGTATTACTTAGACCGTTGTATTGAGGTTGATATTTAGAACCCTGAATGTTAGGGTTGTAATTAAACTGTTGAAAGTCCACGAATCGAATAGGTTTTCCCGAATTTTTTGAAGGATTCTTATAACCTTTAGGGGTATAGTATCTGATTTGTCTTTTTCCTCTTTCAACATCTTCTTGGTCCACAAAATCTTCGTCTTCTAATGGCTTGACTTCTTCATACTCCATGACGCCGTCATTTCTGTTCGTAATTTTCTCTGTACCATTTGCACTGTCGTTACTTAACCCTACACTTTCTAATACCTCCCTTTTCTTTCGTGATTTATATTTATCAGATATGTCATGTATATTGATATTATTCGTTTCGATGTCTGATTGTCTGTCATGTGAAGAGTCAGTCACGTTGTCACTTTTGTCTTCACTGAAATAATGATATGATCGTTTAAATCACTGTGTAAATATTAATCTAGTCAATTCCAATATTTTTCTTTATAAATTACCTGTAAGTTTGAGGTATTGGTGTAGCAGTGGCAGCTCGTCGTTCATCGACTTGTGTCCCGAACGAGAAGGATCCAACCTTCGCACTGTTTTGTGATATAGAAGCAGGGATGATGTTGGAGTTTAGAGTTCTTGAGCTGACAACCTGTGAACCGTAACCATCTCTGTCTTTTTGAACCTGTCCGATCGTTGAAGGCTGTCCTCGGTAGACACGTTGTTGTCTATCATTTTCTATCTCTTCGACTGGCGGTAAGTCATCCACTTCAGCGTACAATTGTTGTTGCTGCAATAATTGAAATATGTACAAGTGTAAAATTAAACTCGTAATGTCTAAAACAGCATAAATTTTTATAAACGTATTTTTGATAGCCCATGAGCAGGTGTAGTTTACTGCTTATTACAACCTTTGAAAAGTATTCCCTTTGAGGAACATTAAAGTGCGACTACTTATTTTGAGTACTTATTTACCTTTTCGTACTCCTGACGATTGAACTTGGGTTGCCCTCTAGAAGTGACGACGGGATTGGGTTGCGCTCTTGGCGGTGGTGGCGGCGGCGACGGCGGCGGGGTTCTACGAGGTGGAGGTGGAGGCGGAGGGGGAGGATCCCGCTCGATAAGTCGCTCCAGCTCTTCTTCGCCTGTTGCTGCTGCACTGGCGCCATCACAGCCTACATTGCGCGGCCAATCACATGTTTGGAGCTCGTGGCTGAAATCATACAAATACAATATATGTATATAATATGGTAGGCACATAATTTACTGGTATTAATGTCAGCGTGATTGCTAAGATTAATAATTCGTTTAAATCTCAATTTCCGAATGATCGAAAGCTCTTCGATCCTGAAGGAGAAACTAGCAAGAATTAGACGTGATGGTCATTTCGAAGGAGATGTTATGATGTCATACGAGGTGTCGTATGACATCATAGCTTCGGTGGACTTGCTAACGTATTGCGAGTTAAAGACTAAATGAAAGAGATAAAAATCTTGTTCAGACATATTATCTGTTATTTTCAAACAACAAACCTGTACATAAGGCCACCAGTGCATGACTCGAGTAGTGCGCCGCCAAACACGCAGACATAATACAAAGTGCAGTCGGTGGGGTGGGGATAGTAGCCGAATTCTTCCGGGCAATCGAAGTTGACATCTCGTTTAATGTCGGCTGCTACGGGCACGCTCCTGATTGGTCCGGAGCGCTGCCTGGAGCGTTCTGATTGGGCGCTTAGAGATTCTGAAAAAAAAAAATCATCAGACGTGTTGAAGACTTTTTAATACTATCTTGCCAATATCCATTTGTAATTTTTTATCGCACGTAAAACAAAAAAAATCAGTAAAAAAATATAGTTTTATAATATGTTATCGGTCGCGTTCATTACGCCCGTGTACTTTCCCATTTGAGATTTAATTCAATTCCAGCACCTTCATTAAAAATTTAAACATAAAACGGTAATGGTGAAGTATTGATACCTATTGTTGACTATATCTAGTTCGAAAGGAAACAATCCATTCAAATTCCTCCATCAATTTCGCGAATAGATAAATGTCCATGTACGTACAACATGCACTTTAGGACAATCGTCTTAAAACACGATAATACGGCAGATATAATAACTACAGTATGACTGCTGTATGAACATTTCATGAACAAATGAAGGCAACTCCATACACGACACAAAACAAATATGCTGGCTGTGAGTTTTCAATATTGCAAGGCTTCATTTACAATGAGAAAATCTGAATGCGGAATTTGAATTGCAGCATAATGATAAGACCCGCCTTATTTCTTTTTTAACTTATGTAAATTTAATTATATTCATTTAAATTTCGTACCGTGGCTTAGCATAGCGTCTGCCACGGTTTGCTAGGAGGCGGTGGTTCGAATCCAGGTGGATCGAAGGAATTTTGTGAAGTGTTCGATCTTTGTATTAATAATTAATACAAACCAGTGGAGTAATTTTATAAAAATAATTTAATATCATGATGGTCAAACATCGTGAATTTCAATAAAAAAACTTAAAAAATTATAAATATAAAATAAACATAAAGTACGACATTTGATAGTGATTCAAGATTAATTACTAGTGTTAGAACGAGACAAAGTGGGCAGTACGGTCCTATCACAATGCTGGCAATACTAGGATAGCTGCCTGCTTCTCGGTATCCTATTCAGTTACTTCTAAGGAGTAATTTTTGTAAAGAAATCGGGTTTAAAATTAAAATATTGGGTCCAATAAACCATCAAATAAGAAATCTATTATCAATCTAGAAGATAGTATTAAACGCACTTGATCTAACTTATTTGTAAAGATTATCATAAACCAGTCGTAGTCTTAGGCGAGGCTTACGTTGCAACACTTTAACCTTGTTTGGTCAGGAATGTATTGTTACCACTCGAAAGTCTACAGTCAGTTTAAAACCATCTCGTTTATCTAGATTATTTGTTTAATTGGGATTACAGGCTTCAATGCAGGTCAAAGTTTATTTAATAGTTATCACAAATATTGCCTAATAATTAAAAGATCGAAGATTACGTCGAACAATCAAAGAAACAATGATATTTAACGTCTTTCATTTTCCACTTTGACACTAAAATTAATTGGTCCTGTATTCTACTTCTTTATTGTTCTCAGGGGCCACAACCAGCTCTTTTACCTTTTTGTAGATGCTCCCTATTTTATTCTTTTTAATTGTTCAATGTAGGCTATTCCTGATCTTCCTATATTTCTTTTTCCCTATATCGTCCTTACAATTGTAACTTTTATAAATTCGTCATAAAAACATGTTTCCTTTCTGTTTTCTTTTATCTTTAAAAGATTTCTCTCTTCCCTAACCCTTTTTGAAAGTTTTTCATTTCATATTTTGTCCATCCAGTTTATTTTCTCCATTTAATTGTTCATTAAAAGCAAAAACATATAGGTAGCACCTCCTCATTATCTTAAAAAGGCTTGCATTTAGACGGAAAAGACCAGAACCCCAATTTTATATTTACGAAACACATAACATTATAAAAAGACAAGAGATCCTAAATGCTGAAATTGACAATAACATATATATAACAATAACAGTGTCATCTTTTGAAAACTAAAACAAAAAGTTGAAGTTTTTTTTATAATACCAAGTTATAGGAACTTGACAACCTGCTGTAACATTGTACGCCTTTATCTTACAAAACACATTAATATTCTCAGTGAACGAGATGAGAACTAGTTAAGTAACTTCATGTGGTTATCTTTGGAGAATTTTGTCACGTTTTCACGATTGTGTGGGAGCGAACACGATAGGCAACTCTCGCGCAGTGTACGCAATTTTTGAGAAATTTGTTTAAATGATATTCGGTTTTGCACATACAATATAGTAGTTTTACAAAAATTTATAGTATTTTGAGAAATAATTATTAAGTATCTGTAACACTGAATACATAATTTGAGCTGAGATGAATTTGAATGTTTATTCAACGACGATAGATTGATTTGAAAAATCTATATTTTTTACCTAAAAATAATTCATCTTATGGCTAAAGTGACATGGCAATATCAATCCATGATCATGATGATAGTGTTTCCCTTCACCGAAAAGCTCCTGGTAAATTTCGAATTAAATTTGCACAACAACTATTCGAACTGACATAAGGGTCATTTAAAACCGTAATTAAGCCACCGAAACAAATACTCGTAACTGCGAAGAAACAGTGCGAGAATGTGTTGAAATTCAACCTTGGAGACAACAGAGATGTAACGGTGAATATGGGCCTTGTTTGTTTTAATAGATGTTATGCTACCTGAGATCATTGTTCATTCATGAATTGTTACCAAAAGGTAATTTACACAACACATAATTATCATGTGCACGATAGTTGACGCCGATTTTCTGATCTAGAGAATTTCCCTAAGAAGTATCGTAGTAACGAGTTTGAATCGGGGCACTGAACAAAACACCCAGACTAGAACCAAGTTAAATTGGCCCGGTACCTTCTCATTAACCGCTCATAATGCTAATCGCTGGATCATCGAAGTCCACTTTGTTATTGTACAATTTTTTCTGATACATTTCAGCACTCCAGGCAAATACATTTGTAACAGAAAGTTACATGGGAAATTACCAGTTCTAAATTAATTCACGTGTTTTATTGTAAGTATTCTTAATAGCAAAGAGCTCCATGTGATAGAAACGTCCAGGGAAGTAATGCCACCTTACCTATTTTTGCCGCAAAGCAGTAATCTGCCGTCCACTATCTAAAATGCGACTAAGTGACAAATGGTCAAATATCCGTTTTAAATAGAAATAGATAGAGCACAAAATTGTCTTTTAAAAACAGTTAATATTAAACGCACTTGATCTAACTTATTTGTAAAGATTATCATAAACCAGTCGTAGTCTTAGGCGAGGCACAACAAAAAACGTGTTCGATTTATCGATTTATCGGAATTTACCCTAACAATGCATAGCTGTAACATCATTACACAAATTCAATATTAAAAAACTGGGTTATGGTTTTTTATGATATCTCAAAAAAATATTTTGTCACTTAACCGAGTTTTACTTAACAGACGGCAGTAATGTGAGCGTTACTACGTTCCGGTTTTGAAGGTAAGGACATAGTTGAAATTACAGGCACATTAGACTTGTCAATTTATGTCTAAGGGTGACGAGCGCAGTGATAGTACCACTGGCATTGCAAATATCATGGATAGAACTGCCTTCGTGGCCGAACGGTTACCAGGCAGATTCGATTTCCGGGCCGGGAGAAATATTTGTATGGCCTACATTTATTTATCTCGTGAGTTTGGGCGTAATTTGTGGTTGTCTATGTGTGCGTTATCTATTTATAGGCGTGTCGCCAGACGCACTATATCGATATCGTAAACAAAGTGTGGTTATTCAAAGTTATGTTCTCCAAGTTTAAAATTTTACATATTACAGGGTCCCAAAAGGCCTCTAAGTGCCAACAATTCGTGGCCTCTACAATTCTACCCAGAGAGCTGTTCTGTCATAACAATAAGTAATATTCTCATTGAACAATAACAACGCGGTTTCTCACAGGTGGTTATAGTTAATCCGCCTTGGAAACAATTGCAATCGAGGACTTGTTCAGCTTTTCGTCATTGATACTTACAATGCTATGGATGTGTCAAATGGCGGCTTAGGAGAATACATGACGTTAAGTATAATCATGCATACATAACAAAGCAACGTAACGAAGAGTTAATAAGACTTAATTAGAGTAAAAACTTCAGAACATTTTTACGATGAAGCACCATCTGCATTAGCCATAAGGAATCGGACAACTATTCAGATAAGTTTTTAAAATTAACCATAAATGACATATTATACTGCCAAGCAAAATATTATTTTATTTAAATAAAGCTTATTTTCTTTTATTGAATACCATGATTGTTTTTACTATCATGGTATTAATTTTTTTTAATACTCCTATAGTTTAGTACAAAGATCAAACAAACACAAAGAAAAATTCCTTTAATTCGACTGGTTTAGAACACTGTTTGCCAAACCGAGACTACCGGTCTCCCATCTGAGAATAAATCAGCAGACCTCACGAATTGCATTACGTCCCTGCTGCCGATCTTTGTTTTTGGTTTGAACGGCTTTTTTCCCGTAACGCCATCTGTGAGAAATCTATGAAAGCTTTTTCTTCACTTCGCTTACTCTACAGCTACCAGCGGCTGATGAAAAACGTCGCTTTTTCTGCTGAGTCGTTGCATGTCTCACTTAGCCCCGGTCTGGCAAACAGGCGTTGATTCGAAACCAGCCGCATAGAAGGATTTTTCTTTTCGTATTTATTCAATCTTTGTATCAATAATAATACTAAATAAAGCTTTTCAAGGTCCAGACTATATTGAAATGTGATTTTTAACAAATTGCCGTCCAAACGGCACATCATGTCAGCACCCGTTCTTCTTTTTGCTTATTGGCGGTGCCGTTCAGGATTTCGCCAATATCGAGTTTTCCACTCACACCCACAAAAAATATGGCGACCATCGCCAATGTCCAGTTCTTTATTTTCAATTAAGAAGTTTTGTAAATAAAGTTTATAATAGGGTGGTTTGCATTAATATTAGAATTAACGGGTATGACCAATTTACCATCTCAGTCCGCCCGAAAAGTTGGTTGGTTTATTATCGCTAAATAAAATCCAACTCCGATTTCACTTCGTTTTTATTGACATTAAATTCACTATTATTCTCTAAGTTCACTATCCGATCAAGACTGAGC